GATATCTCGCCTACGTCATAAATGACGCAAGTTGGCGAAAGCTAGACGAGCCGTCTGTATCCGTGCTGAGACCACAAGGGCTGATGAGACTCCCAAGATAAGTGAAGTGGTCAAGACAGTCCTACTGTAAGGAGCTGAAACGTGGAGAACTACTACGGCCATCATCAGGAAGGTACAAGTATTTATAAACAATTGTCTACGCAAAATACTCAACATCCACTGGCCGGATACTATCAGCAACAGCGTTTTATGGGAGAGGACAAACCAGCTTCCAGCTGAAGAGGAAATTAGGAAAAGACGTTGGAAGTGGATCGGACATACATTAAGGAAATCACCAATGTGCATCACGACTCAATCCCTAACTTGGAATGATGAAGGGAAGCGGAAAAGAGGAAGGCCAAAGAACACACTACGCCGGGAAATAGAAGCCGATATGAAAAGGATGAATGTTAACTGGAAAGAACCGGAAAGGAAGGCTCATGACAGAGTTGGATGGAGAATGCTGGTGAGCGGCCTATGCTCCTCGACGAGGGGTAACAGGCGTAAGCAAGTAAGTAATCTCATCAATTGATTTACCATCCTTACCTAGTACTCTATACAGAGAACTGCTGAGCAGTATACACTTCCGTTTGTTAGAAGACGGATATCTCTCCTACGCCTCAAGGAAAAAAGTTGGTAAAAACCAAACTAGCTTTCTTAATTCATGCAGATATTTTGTCAGACAGCAGATCATTGCAAATGATAAGACTCAAGATAAGTGAGTCGAATGATGTGTACAATTACTTCATTTCCCATCAATAATTCAGACGGTGATGCAAGCTAACAGATTGTATTTGTAGGGAGAGATCAGCATTCAAAACATGTTTGCTTCGTTTCGAAAGGTGACCGGTAAACTGTGGACTTGATCAGTATCTTAATCAAACATATCTATATCATTTGTGTATGTAAAGTTAACAAGAGAATTTTCTGGTAGAAGATCAAGTCCTTGTAATTCAGACGATGAAAATATTATCTTTAAAAGCATATCTATGGTAAGATCAAATAAAACAGGGAAAGTGTATGACCAATTCTGTTGAATATTTTGTAAGATTCACTACTTCATCAACCGACTTGTCATCTCTATCCAGTGCTGTCTGCTTAAATTCCAGCTAATTCGGTAGTTTCAACATGTACGAGTAATGCCTAATAAGCTTACAACATACGTACAGAAATTCCACCAATCGAAAGGATGATGAAGCTTACTCACTAATCAGTGTATGTTGAAAGCATATTTAATCATTAATGTACATCTTTGATAGGCCGTTCAATGACAGACACCAACAAAACCTCAAGATAAATAGGCTCGCACGACACTTTGATGTCAAGGCATACAACAATAGTCGAACGTTTATGTTCCAGAAAGTGAATATTTAATCAACAGATCCATGTCTAGGTCTGCAACCGGCCTGGTTTTCTGGAGTAAATACATTAAAATCCATGCACGCAAGCTAATCGATAAAAGTTCTGTATTACCTTACCTAGCAAATATAGTCTGTGACGAACAGGTTGTTAGAGTTAACCTAATCAATAATCTGTATTCTTAAGCATGCCTCAAATTCGATAAGTTGTACAGACTCAGGTTTTTTTCTCTTTTTTTGGTTAAGCATTTGTTGAAATAACTAGTGCTGAGAATTCCGTATTGCACCAAAATATAATATCACTTTCATGACTGACTAACTACTTCTCTAGTTGTTCCTAAAACACATTAATAAGGTTTTTATCATTAAGTTAAACTCTAAGAATTTTTATTGCTGTGGCTTTCCTATGTTCAGTAAGATGCAAACAAATATATGCTCGAACTAGAGCATGATCTGAATCTAAACATGTGTTCCAGAATGAATGACAGTTTTCTATCAAATCTCTCCGACTATGGGTGATGGCAATGTGGTCTATTTGATTCCATTGTTGAGTTGATGTGGGAGTCACTACGTCAGACGGTGTCTCTCCTCATGCTTATAGTTAGTGTTTGCTAGAAATAGACGGTAATCTGAGTATAGTTACAACCGACGGTCGCTATTATCTCACTGAGCCGTGACGTTGTAATAAGCATCAAAGTACCTTTTGATTTGGATTAATCTACCTAATTGAGCATTACAATCACCAGAAATCATCACTGCATCAGAGCGTTTAGGATATTGAAGGAGGTTTGATAGCTTCCTATAAAATTCATTTTTATCTTCATCCTAGCTGCAATCGTTGAGAGCGTACGGAGGGACAAAGAAGAGGCAAAGGCGTGTGTTCTTACGGTTCCGTTTGGTCGGAGAGCACACAAGTGACTGCCTATTAGAAACAAGTCTAACAAAGCCTATTCTGCTTTAGAACACGAATGGTAACAGTGGGGTCTTCAGATACGCGAAGGGCACGTTTTGCCGATTCTTTATATTGACAAGATGAAGTCATGTGGATGGCTGTGCTTGGATCCCGTATACGCGTTTCGGAGACTCAGCATATATCGATGACGCGAGATTCTAGAGTCTTATCTAAAGAAGCCTGTTGTCCTATCTGACACAAGGTTCGAACATTAAAAGCTTCAACATGTAGTTCAAAGCGTGGTTTTAGGAATACCATTTCTTGAATACAAATCCTTAGGACTGGTGCTGCAGAGTGATAAAGGTATTCGAGAAGGGTTAGTGGTGGGGATAGGATTATTAAAGGTGATAGAGAGATTCGATCGTAAGCGAGATAATCCTGAGTGCAGTCGGAAGCATGAGGGTGAATTCGCTACCTGGCTGCCCAGACGCTGTGGAATGATTAGGATAATACTAGTTTTAGACGGGATGCTTCCTTCATCAAACAAAATGTAGCCTTCAGTCATATAACTGACAAGACCAACAAATTATATTTACATAAACTGAAGAGAAATTGCCACGAATGCACTTAGATAACTGTCGAATGATAAAATTTATTCAAGGATATTATATTCTACTTATTCATGTGAGATCCTTCCTACCGCCGCTGCTACTTTGACGAGGTGGTCAGGCTTGCCTATCGTGATGAACCAATCATTCTTCAAGGTACTATCATGCCAGATTGATCGGTTGAAGAGCAGGAAAACTAAAATTAGCAAATCCAAGGTTCGAGGTTGAAGTCGTACTACTAACTATACAGAGGTGTCACTGCAGCCCAAATGAAGTGTAGTATACCGACTCGGCGAACAGATAATGGTGATCATCTGTTGCAATTGTGCTCAGACAATCGTTTATCTTTAGAAAACACAAATTTTAAGCATTAGGAGAGACATCGTCTAATATGGCCGTGACCCCTGAACCAAACCATATTGCAATCAGTCACTGTTGGAGAGGCTCGATAAAAGATTGCCGCTTTTACTGGAATACATGTTTAGACTCTGATCACGTTTTAATACGAGCACGCATTTGCTTACGCCTCATTGGACGCAGGAAAAACATACGGAGGGACGAAAAAGCCAAAAGTAAGTTTCAGGAACAACTGAGATCACAGTTAGGCAGTTATGTAAACGAGGCTGATCCAGATGTTGCATGGAAAGATATACAAACAGCTGTGGTGTCTATTAGTTATTTAAGCCAATGGATTTCTTCTAAGTCTATTTCACTGATAGATTCTCATAAACTCATCCCATCAGGCTCTGAACACGATGAAGAACGAAGGCAAATCCGATCTAGGTTAACTAGGACTCGTGAACTGCAAATATGAGAAAACCAGGCTGGCTTCAGACCTGGTCGTGGCTGTATCAACAACATATCCACTATTCGTCAGGTTTTATATCACAGGAATGCTTATCGGCGTTAGACAATAATTTTTCTTTATTTGAAAGCAGCATTTGACTCTGTAGACCGAGAGGTTCTGTGATATTGTCTGTCATTGAAAGGTGTATCCCAAAGGTAGATAAACCTTGTAAGGCTCTTTACCGAACACTATCAGTTGAGTCAGACTTTATGGCGAACTGTCATCTGATTTTACAACCTCAAGTGGTGTCCGACAACGCTGTCCACTATCTCCATTTCTGTTCAAATTCATCATAGACCTATTGCTGAAAATAACACTCTCGTCGACTGTATTTTCAGGAACTGACCTCCTACCAGGAGGTCCACTTATCGACGTAGAATACGCAGATGACATAGTCCTGTTTGGCGGAGACGCAGATAAAATGAAGTCTCTTGGTAAGATTGGGTAACAATGCAAAGATGTTTGAGATGCGTTTCTCTCCCTCTAAATTAAATTGTTGCTCCAGGATGGCCTGCGTCAACACCTGAACTACGGATAGGGAGTGAAGTAGTCGAACGCGTCGATAACTTTATTTATATTGGAAGTCTAATTAGCTCTAATGAGTTGGCGTCTGAGATGGTTGGGCCACATGTTACGTATGCCTGAACACCGATTACCACGACGTGCTATGCTGACTAGTATTGGGAATGGTTGGAAGAGAATTAGGGGCGGCCAAACCAAAACGTGGCATCAGTTCTTGAAGTCACTAACTCCTAGTCTAAGCAATGTTGGTAGATGCAAACTACTCGGTTGTTGTCTGCGCGACTATCGTAAACAATGGTTGGAGACTGTCTGACTTGGCTGAGAATTGATCACAATGGCGTAGGTGTATACACTCTTTGTCTTTCCTTAAACTGTGAGATTAAAATTGCTTCATATCCTCCTTTCTTCCTGTATCATAACCTTTATATACAATCATTCTTTTATATGCTACTGCAATTGAAGCAACCGATTCTATGAGTTTGGTGTTCATCTTGTTTTGCGAATGAGGTATGACAACTTGGACCGATGCATATACGTGCCTGGTCCTACTTTTTAGCTGATTGACTGGCATATGAGTTCCCTCAAATATGCGAATTGAAGGCCCTAATCGGCAAACAATTTGTATAGGGATTTTTTACATTACTATAGTCTATTAGAGGGGAATTGTACCAAAACTACATAAGTGTTGTATAACTGAGAAGTACATAACTGATAGAAAGTACCAGGTATATGTTCAAAAAACTATATATTCAAATATGAAAAAATATATTCTATTTTGTACAATAGTCTTTCTCTTTTAATTCCTTGATATTAGTCAAGAGAGAGAGAGAAAGAGAGAGTATGACGTCTAATTGGTTGTGGTCACTAAGAATTTTTATCTACAGTTATCTTCTATTAAAGTATTGCTCTGTTTATGTGAAGAATATATTTCTGAAAGAGAAAATATAAAAGCATAAAAAAGGGTACTTGTTAATTAAGTTACATCAATTCAAAAAAAGTCAAATAGCTATTTACTCAGCTAATAAGTCATTGTAGAACATATATATTTGCTATCTCCACAAAACCCCCTTGTGATAATGATCATATGCTCACTAGTGACTGGCTCTATGAAGGCAATTCCTGGAGTTCTAGTGAGAAGTCGTGACCAGTGGAGCTAATCCATGTCAGGTAGAGATAGGTATCTACCTCAGTACACTGGAAGTTGGTCGCGCAATTCCATGGATTAATTGAGGTTAGACATTAACACCGTTGGATGCTGACTGACCGTGGATGCGCATTGCTGAGGAGTCCAACGATCGGACGAAACAGCTGTCCAGTGCTTCCAGGTTTTTCCATGGTGGTCTAGCTTAAATTGACTCATGATTTTAACTATATAAAGTTTATGCCATTTTACCGACTGATGAGAGCAACGTAAATTTATTTGTAAATCAGGTCTGGCTTCTAAACAAATGATTAACTCTGATCATATTCCTTAATGCAAAGGTTTTGTAGTTCCTATTTCTCTTCAGCCTGCCTGGAATGGGTAGAACCTAAAGTGTTCCAGCCAATATAATCCGACTACGTCATAATGATATCCAAATCTGACCAGGATATCAATATAACAGCTATGGTTCATTGACTGACGTCGAGGCCGAATGTTTAGATTTATCACACAATAATAGCGTCATGCACTGTTCCATAGCCCATGGTAGATCAAGAAAGCCGAAAATTATGAGATCACTACTTGAAAATACGACACACTAGATACCCCCCAATAGGATTTTTTTTCTTGAGCTTAATCTTATTTGTGGTCGTGGGTCAGTACATTTAAGGGTTCTCAAACTAGAGAGAAAGATCTATTCAGTGCTCCCTAATTTTCAATAATTCATTTTTTTTCATGACAAAAGTTATCATCAAAGTGTGAGCATTTCTTCAAAAAAGGATCAATCAAATAGCGTAAAATCCCAAAACCCTAAATGCATACAATTCGTCCCATCCAAGCAGTGGGAGAGAGGTTCAAATCTGCGGGCTACTGATATAAAATCTAGTGTTTAATCAACTAAGTCATCGATCAAATAACCCACCACATACCCAGCAGTCATCATCATCAAGCAGTGAACATGCAATGAGATGAGAATTACCAAAGTGAAAAATATTTGTAAACCATCTCAACCCTTCTAAACCCCATAATACAATAATTGTGTACACTTATTTATTCATTAATACCATCAGTTTTCAACTAGTTATATCATACCTGCGTTACGCTTACAATGATCCAAAAATTCGGAAATATGTTCAGGATCATGGGTATTCATAAATTCCAATGTTGATAGAAAAGATGATTCCGTTAGAGGAGATTGAGAGCTACCAGCCAAAAATATGGGCGGTATGCGCTTACTGATCTAAAGATATAAAGGCAAAAAATCGACAGTTTATATATTACTGCAAATGAGGTGTAGGAAATTAATTTAGGGTTTATACCATAAGCGGAATTAGTGGTCTGAAAAGTGAAGGAACATAGGTCACCCACCAGCATTGTCAATCGAACTCCGTCCCAAACAATCCTTTCCAGCTGTTTCCAATTACTATTCATTATTTCCATGTCTGCTTCCGATTCCAGACACAATATGTCCCTTACTCTTCCTCTTCTCCTTTCACCTTGAGGATTCCCAGTTAGCGTCTACCTCATGATGCGGTTTGATGAATTCCCCAATGTATGTCCTATCCACCTCAAGAGACTGTACCCAATTTCCTGTTTAGATAGAAGCTGACTTGTTCTCTCCCACAGTACGCTGTTGCTGATGGTATCCGGTCAACGGATATTGAGTATAAGTATCTTTCGTAGATAATTGTTTACAAATACTTGTACATATTTGATTATGTTTGTGGTAGTTCTCAAAGTTACAACTCCGTACAATAGAACTGTCTTGACGTTTGTATTGAGAATTATGAATATAATAATGACTGATAGTTGTTTTGAGTTTCATATATTGTTCAGTTGTATAAGTGCTGCCATCTCTTTGCCTATCCGTGCCGTAATATTTGTATCAGATCCCCCTTGTATAGCGGTGATACTGACTATGTCATGTACGCGAAACATGTCACCTCTCTCCGTGTTTCTCCATCAAGTGTCATTAAGTTGGTGCTCAGTGTGCTGTTGCTTTACTTACTGTCTTTACTTACATTTTTTGGTGTGTATGAGAGAGAAGAGCTTGTGAGCATTGTCAGATAATACGCTATGTCTAACGTGATGACCGGCTGTTGAGGCATCAAGAATAAAACGACAACAACATTACTTACCTTGGTCAAACGACCAATGTCATTATATAATCCACGATTGACTAAAACTCCGGCTAACTGTGAACTGATTGAGCTATTACCATTTTCTGATATTTTATTTACAATGGTAATCACTAATAAGAAAGTAAACAAGGAGGAAATAAATATGATATGCCTTCTTTGATAATAAATTTGCAATAAAAAAGTTCATAACCAAACATTGAATATCAGAAGGGGTTTTGTGGAGATTTTAGTAATTCTATAAAGTTGAGCTCATGAGTCAATTGAAGCTAGACCACTATGGAAAACCTGGAAGCACTGGACGGTTATTTCGTCCTATTATGGGAATCTTCAGCACTACTCATCCACGATCCCGCCTCGCTAGATTCGAACCCAGGACTTACCAGTCTATGGTGGTCTCGCTTCAATTGACTCATGATCTTAACTCTATAAACATTGAATAGTTGAGTAATTACCACCGTTACAATCCAAGGAGATAAGACTTAACAAGGAACTGTGGATCTAAAAAAAATCCAGATTGAATCTTTTTCGGATATTTCTTAAACCAGGATTTTAATAATCGCATAAAGTCTCACTAATCTTTCCAAGAAAATAACTAGCATATCCTCTATCTTTTTTTAAAATTACAAGTTTATGTATTTCGATTTAAGCGACAGTCAGTCAGTCAGCTACAACGTAGGACCAGGCACATTTATGCATCGGTCCAAGTTGCCATACCTAGTTAGCACAACAAGATGAACACCGGGTTCATAGAAGTAATTAATTTAGTGGTGGTAGTAGTGTATAAATTATAGGTTGTATATAAGGATATAGTAAAGGAAGGAAGAGAGATATGAAGCAATTTTAGTCTCAAGGTTTAAAGGAAGATAAAGAGTGTATACACCTACGCCATTGTGATCGATTCTGAGCCAAGTCAGACAGTCTCCAACCATTGGTTACGATAGTCACGCGGACACCAACCAGGTAGTCTGCATCTGTCAACATGGCTCAGACTAGAAGTTAGTGACTTTAAACACTGATGCCATGTTTTGGTTTGGCCGCCCCTAACTCTCTTCCAACCATCCCGAATACTAGTCATCATAGCGCGTCGTGTTAATCGGTGTTCAGGCATACGTAACACATGGCCCAACCATCTCAGTCGATGAAGATTCATCACCTAATCAACTGATTTACCATCGTTCCCTAATACCCTGCGTCTAACCTCACTATTACTTACCCGGTGATCCCAGCAGATGCGTGAAATATTTCTAAGGCATCTGTGGTCAAATACTAGTAACCTACGCTCATCTTCTACTCTTAATGGCCATGTTTCACAACCGTAAAGTAGAACAGAGCGAACTGATGCGCAGTATACTCGTCCTTTAATTGATAGACGGATATCTCGTCTTCGCCATAGGTGACGTAAGTTGGCAAAAGACAAACGAGCTTTTCGAATACGTGCTGAGATTTCGTCAGACACCAACCCATTAGGGCTGATCAGACTTCCAAGATAAGTGAAGATGTCAACGTGTTCGACTACTTCACTCCCTATCCTTAGTTCAGGTGTTGATGCAGGCCAGTCCTGGAGTAACAATTTACATTTGGATGGGGAGAAACGCATCCCAAACATCCTGGCATTATTACTCAGTTCCAACAGAAGACTCTGCATTTTGCCAGCGTCTTCACCAAACAGGACTATGTCATCTGCGTATTCTAAGTCGCTTAGTGGTCCCCCTGGTAGGAAATCAATTCCTGAAAATTCAGTTGCAGAGAGTGTTATTTCCAGCAACAGGTCTATAATGAAGTTAAACAAAAAAGGAAATAGTGGACAGCCTTGACGGACACCACTTGAGGTTGTAAAATCATATGACAGTTCGCCATAAGCTCTCAATCGACTAATAGTGTTCGAGTAAAGAGCCTTCACAAGGTTTATGTACTTCTCAGGTACACCTTTCAATGACAGACACTGCCACAGAACCTCTCGGTCTACAGAGTCAAATGCTGCTTTCAAGTCAAGAAAAACTATCATTGTCGGACGCGATAAGCATGTCTGTGCTCTAAAACTTGACGAATGGTGAATATGTGGTCGATACAGCCACGACCAGGTCTGAAGCCAGCCTGATTTTCTCGTGTTTGCAGTTCACGAGTCTTAGTTAGGCGCCCGATAATTATTGAGGCTAGTATTTTAGATGCTATGTTGGTCAGACTAATCCCTCTATGGTTATCGCAGGATTTTGGCCCCTTCTTATATATTGGGACAATCAGTGATTGTGACCAGTCAGGTGGGATTACCTTCGTCTCCCAGATTTTAGCCAGAATATTAGTCAACCTAATCGCCAAAATCGGACCACCATATTTAAAGACCTCTGGAACCAATCCATCTGGACCAGCTGCTCTTTCTCGTTTCAGATTACTTATAGCCTTTTGAACTTCAAGTAGGGTCGGCGGGCCTACTTCAATGTTCCATTCAGGTTTTCTGGGAATAGTGGGTAGTTGTGCAGTAGCTGAAGGCCAGCTAAACTGCTCCTTAAAGTGTTCCGCCAATCGTTCTAAACGTTTAGGTTGAGAGCAGATAAGGGTTCCGTCTTTTTCCGAGATTGTCTCACTCACACTTGACTTCTTAATTCCGGTTTCTTTTATTAGTCTGAATAGTTGCCTGGTGTTGCCTACAGCCGCTGCCTTTTCCATCTCTTTTGCTTTCGTTGCCCACCACTGCTCACGATCGTTCCTTAGACTTTTAGTTAACCTAGATCTAATTTCTTTACGCTCTTCGTCATGTTCAGAGCCTGATGGGATGAGTTTACGCGAATCCATCAGTGAAATAGATTTAGAAGAAATCCATTGGTTTTTTGAAGCTCTATGGTTTAAATGACTAATAGACGTCACTGCCGTTTCCACAGCTGTTCGTGTGTCTTTCCAAGCAGCATCTGGGTCAGTCTCGTTTACAGAACTGCCTAGATGTGAACTCAGTTGTTTCTGGAATTCGCATTTGGCTTTCTCGTCCTCCAGTTCAATCCTAATGGGTCTTCTTAGTGTACTTTTCCTGCGTCCTTTGAGTCGCAGACAAATGCGCGCTCGTATTAAAGCGTGATCAGAGTCTAAACAAGTATTCCAATACGAGCGACAATCTTCTATTGAGCCTCTCCAACGATGACTGATGACAATATGGTCTATTTGAGTCCATCGTTGGTTTGGTGCAGGTGGTCGCCATGTTAGACGATGTCTCTCCTTATGTTTAAAATTAGTGCTTGCTAAAAATAAACGATTGTCTGAGCATAGTTGCAACAGACGATCACCATTATCGGTTCGTTGAGCCGGAATACTAAAACACCCACCTAATTTAAGCGACACTTCATGTTGAGATTAGTGAGACTATAAAAAACCAGGCAGAGAGGTTTTTAAACCTGCACAACTTATCAGTTGAGACCTAATCAACATGCTAATGTTCCTTAAGAACGAATTTCTCGAAGATATCAAAATAAATTTAAATTACACAAGCACTACACGACATACTTATGAAAGATTCTAAAAAGATATACAACGTTCAGAAAAATGATACTTACAGCTTCTTATATATTTAGCAGGCCAACATTGAAACAAAGTATCCATATGTGGACTGCAAATAATAGTGGCTAATTGATCAGATGGTAAATCTGTTAGGCTTTGAATAGCAAAATTTATATCTTCCGCATTTTGCATACCAGTATTGCCAGAACTTGAAAAAATTCTAAGAAAATTGAAGGTATATAGATTGTGTATTATGATCACGGTGAAAAATTAAGCATACAGAATATAGTTTGAAAGGGGAAGATGAACTTTCAAAAAAAAGGAATAAGCTGATTTTAAAACTCAAGGTCTAAGAGAAGACAAAAGAGTCAGTCGGTCAATTATCATCAACGTAGAACGGTGCACAAATGTGCGTTGGCCTAAGTTTCCATAGTACATTAATATGACGAGAAAATAATATGATGAATAGAAAAAATTGAAATACTGCAGTATAGTGAATGCATCTGAGCAACTACAAACGATTCTATCAACCAACATCTTGAACCGTTGGTTATGGTTCCCAACGAGATAGTCCGTACCTGTCAACGTGGAAGGAACAAGTAGTCAGAGAATTCATGGATAAATGCTAAGTTCAGGTTTGATCATCTCTTTTGTATAACAAATTCCTATACCACTGAACATCGCTTGTTCAAGTGGGCGGTGGTTTGACATGTATAATACATGACGAAACCACCTTATTCGATAAACATTTCCCAACTTTCGCTCGTACCATATACCTAAACTCAGGATTACTCACTTATTACTTCCATCATCTGTGACCAATTCTTCGAAGACGCCTTTGATTATATACTTTTTAGGAGAGAGAGGAATAGTTAAAGTTTTCAGAAACAGAGGTAAACCTGTTACTTTATACTTATGATACCATACGTAATCGAACACAAGATACCATTGTTCAGAATGGATAGTAAATACAATAAGAAAAACTAACACTTAACATATGATTATAAACCATGCAAATAGGACATCCAAATGATCAGACTTACTGTATTATATAAGCAACAAATTTTAATGGATAAAACATTTCCCGATCTTGTTTAGGTAAAGATGAGAAAATACGTTTGAATAAAGATACAGATCCAAGATTCGCAAGGTGATGCAATAAAATTATTCTACCTGAAATAAATGAGAGAAAACTTTTTTTTCCTCTGCTTTCGATTCGACTCTATTTAGTAGTTATGTATAAAACAAACAACACAATTTGTGAAATATACAGTAAGGAGGGTATATAAGAACTCTCGTCTAAATTAGAGCAAATAGTTTCACAGTATTTAAGCGCCGAGTTGATGTAAAACATTATATAGGAATAATATATATTTGTAAAATCTCAGCGAATGAATTTGTAATGAGGGATTTAGCATAGTGGAGTATCAATGTACTTTATTTGGCGTTGCAACAACACAGAAAGAGAGAATCAACAATAGTCAGTCAGTCACAACGTAGAACTTCGTACGTACGTACATCAGTTCGAGTCGCCATACCACATCAGCACGGAGATACAGTTGTCAATTAAAATCCCATAGTGGTAGAAGTAGTAAGAGTTTAAGCATTATGTGAAAGATTAAGGTTTGAAGATGTTATTGAAGGAGTATAATACAGTGAAATAAATTTGGAAAGAGAAAAAAGGATAATGACGTGAAGAATTCAGAAGATTAGAATTTGGCAGAACATAAAGAGTGGATGCATCTTCGCCATTGCCAACGATTTTGAGCCTTGTCATTCAAGGTCTCCAACCATCGATTGCTATCATCTCGCGAATCTCAACCAGTTAGCCTACACCTACAAACATGGCTCAGTCCAAATGTCAGCGACTTCATGGATTTATGACACGTTTTGGTCTGGCCGCCCCTAGCTTTCTTCCAACCTACTCTTACACCATAAAAAATCGATGGTTTGGCATACGTAACACGTGTCCCAGCCATCTCATCTGATGAACTTTCACTACTTCATCAATCGATTTGCCCTCCTTACCTAGTACCCGTTTCCTAACAACTGCATTACTTACTCGGTGGTCCCAGGATATACGAGCAATGCTTCGAAGACACCTATGATAGAATACTAGCAGCCTACGAATATCCTCTACTCTTATCGGCCATGTTTCACTACCATAAAGTAGGACGGAACGAACTGCTGTACGGATCAACAATAAGAAATTGATATTGAGAAAAGAATAGAAAATTAGTTGATATCGGACTAACAGTAATAGGGTTTTGAAAGTTCAGTTTTGATTATTCACAATTAGATGAATCAGTTTCTTTTAAAATATGAGCTTCTTGAAAGAATCTTGTTATATTAATTGCGCTTATAAGCTAAGTTTATATTGGATAAGAGCTATAGGTGGAGGTTGGAAGCATAAGTATTTTGTTTTATTCGAGACTAATTGTCGAGATGTACAACCAACCCATTATTGTTGTGAAAGTCATGATCTGAGCGCAATGAACATAGTTCCAATGATCAGAGTTACATCATGCCTATGGAACAAGTTAATTTTTATTTTGGTTTAACAGAGTTGTCGAACATTGTTGTAACGAATGTCAAGATATTATGTCTCTAGTTCCATTTATTAAGGTTTCGCAACGTGCGTTTATATTCCAAATCTGTTGTCCATTGCCATAAAGTAGGAAATGTTGTACGAATGAGAGATTAACTATTTGAATAGATATAATAAGAAAATAACCACTAAATACGGAAGCCCAAGCAAAATGATGCATTCATTTATATAAAATGTGACGTATAAGTGGTGAACAGGATTGACATTCACTTCACAAATGAATGACTATGAGCTAGGTGTTCGGTAGGTTGTTTACCAAGAGTCAGTCAGCTAAAACGTAGGATCAGGTGCATATATGAATCGGTCCAAGTTGCCACACCTCATTAGCAAAACAAGATGGACACCATATTCATAGAAGTAGTTGCTTCAATGGCAGTAATATATAAAAGAAAGATTGCACATAAGGATATGATACAGGAAGAATTAGTTCGTAGAAAGGTATAAAGCAATTTTAATCTCATAGTTTAAGGAAAGACAAAGAGTGTATACGCCTACGCCATTGTGATCGATTCTCAGTCATGTCACACAGTCTCCAACCATTGTTTACGATAGTCACGCGGACACCAACCAAGTAGTCTGCATCTACCAACATGACTCAGACTAGGAGTTAGTGACTTCAAGCACAGATGCCACGTTTTGATTTGGCCTCCCCTAACTCTCTTCCAACCATCTCCAATACTAGTCAGCATTGCGCGTCGTGGTAATCGTTGTTCAGGCATACGTAACATGTGGCCCAACCATTTCAGTCGATGAAGATTAATGACCTCATCAACTGATTTACCATCATTCCCTAATGCCCTGCGTCTAACCTTACTATTACTTACCCGGTGATCCCAGCAGATGCGAGTAATATTTCTAAGACATTTATCATCAAACACTCGTAGCTCACGAGTATCTGCTACTTTTAATGGCCAGAGACTAATGGGATGAGTTTACGAGAATCTATAAGTGCAATACACTTAGAAGAAACTCGTCGGTTTTTGTAACCCTATGGTTTAAATTACTAATAGATGTTACTGCTATTTCCACAGCTGTTTGTATATCTTTCCAAGCAACATCTGGATTAACCTAGTTCATAGAATTGCCTAACTGTGACCTCAGTTGTTTCTGAAACTTACTTTTGGCTTTCTCGTCCCTCAGTTCGTTTCTAATGGGTCTACTTAATGTGGTTTATCTGCGCCCAGTGAGGCGTAAGCAAATGCGTTCTCGTATTAAAGCGTGATCAGAGTCTAAACATGTATTCCAGTAGGAGCGACAATCTTCTATCGAGCCTCTCTAACGATGACTGATGGCAATATGGTTTATTTGAGTCCATCGTTGGTTCGGTGCAGGGGTCCTCGCCATGTTAGATGATGTCTCTCATTACGCGTAAAATTAGTGTTTGCTATAGATAAACGATTATCTGAGCACAATTGCAGCAGATGATCACCATTATCTTTTCGCTGAGCCGGGCTACTAAAATAAACGCCTAAATGTCATTCTGTTTGGTTTACACTACCTACCTTGGCATTAAAGTCACCTGCTTCAAGTACCATGTCTGTAAAAGTCATCTTCCACTTAATTCAAGCTGCGGTGACACATCTCTACAGTCAGTAGTACGACATCATCCTCGCTCTCCAACCGATCTGTCTGGCATGGTCAGACCCTAAGGAACGATTGTTCCAGCCAGTATTTCTCGACTGATTGATAACGATAGGCAAGCCTGACCACCACGTCAAGGTAGCAGCCACGGTCGGGCACCGAAAACTCTTAACCTTTCTTTACTGTTCAACATATTAAATATAAATATTTAGAGTGTAAATATAGTAACATAGTATTGAAAGTCTCTTACTTGACAAATCCCACAATCGTCCTATTAATTCTAAGGTATGTCCCAAATATTCATCACACTTTTGACTATCAGAAAATAAAATGCAGAAAAAGAAGATGAAAACGATAGTATCCTATAGAAAATGATCAGAAAAAATCAAACTTCCCTATTAATGACAGTGATAGCAGCAGTAGTTATAATAACTTCGCACACGTCTAAGTTATCGAAGCCGGCTTTTTAAAGTTGTGACACCAACGCAAATACCATCACTTTACTCGAGCACAAACCACCAAGCCTCTGTATTATGAACACTCAATGCTAATAAATGTTATCAGTTGTTCGGAAACAATTATGATCAAACACAGACAGTCGCGTAACATTCTCAACTTGGAGAAGCGAAGCTTTTCAGGCGCAAAGCAGAATTGCCGTCACTGACGAGTTATAAGCTGGACTTATGACACGCAGACTGACATCACGATTATATTTAAGATAGCACGTAAATTGCTCTCATTAGTCACCCCACCACTAGCACTCACGTAACACACATAGAAGTGTCATGATTTAATGAAAATAAATTCTAAAATTATTATGATGAATGAAAAACCAAATATGTCAACTTGTAAGTTTTGATGATTAAAACAATGATTTGATTAAGGGAAAACATATATGGGAGTTTGAGTAGGTGCTTTCTTCAATATCATAATCCTAGATGAAGTTATATCGCTTATGACATAACTGGTAATATGTTGAACATGATTGACACACAAGGTTTGTGGTAAGGAAATAGGTGTAATAGAGAAGTATCCGTCAAATCTATATGTTATGCTGACATAAAGAAAAATGCTATTGGAATTTTTAAAGCGAAACTGTGATGAAATGAGAAAAAATATATACTTACTCAACAAGAAATTGAGCAACATCAGCTACAGGCATTTTAGGTGACAGTTCCTGGAATAAAAGATAAATATGACAAGTTACAATAAGAGTAGACAATATTTCAAGCACTTTTTAGCATATAAAAATACTTCATGTAACAGGATGAGGATACCGGCAGAGCTTCAAATTAAGACCAATTACTTTTATAATCCACAACATAAGAAACTTAAACAACTGTAAGTCAGCAATCATCACAGTTATTGTTTTCGATGCAAATGTCAAGACGGTTCTATTGTACGGAGCTGAAACTTTGAGAACTATCAAAAACATTATCAAACATGTACAAGTATTTATAAACAATTAACTACGAAAGATACTTATATTCAATGTCCGTTGACCGGATACCATCAGCAACAGCGTACTGTGGGAGAGAACAAGTTAGCTTCCATCTAAAGAGGAAATTGAGTACAGTCGCTTGAAGTGGATAGGATATACATTAGGGAATTCATCAAACTGCATAACAAAACAAGCGCTAACTTGGAATAGTGAAGAGAAACAGGAATTAAGCTAGCATTTGAAGCTAGGTGGATGAATGTTTCAACATTTAGAGAGCAGGTTAGAATTATTTCACAACCTCTACTCCATTCACGGGAAATTTATGCTTAACTGTTCATTCCTCAATGGTTTTACGCAACACAGGAGCGGCGCTGAATCACTGATCAAAAGATAATGGCAAAGAAAATTTCCAATACGAGAATTGCTTCAGCACTTAGAATCTTAGGCTAAAATTGAAACGTAGCTAGAGATAGATAAAAAAACATCTAAGTGATTCGGTGCGGAGCTGGTAGGTCCTGGGTTCGAATCTCGCGAGTGCGGGATCGTGGATGCGCACTGCTGAGGAGTCCCATAATAGGACGAAACGGCCGTCCAGTGCTTCCAGGTTTTCCATAATGGTCTAGCTTCAATTGACTCATGATTTCAACTATGAAAAAAGATCTATTCACATTGAAAATACTTTCATATCATTGTGTTAATATGATACAAAAGCCTCAATCGATGCACATATGGTTTTTCAGCTTCTTCGTTGCTAAAATCTGATTACCATTAAAACAACTATCTAGCGTTCCCCCTTATTTTGAATCGTGAGCAACCGATCAAAGGCAATAAACACTCAAAAATTTTAAAATGAAAGAGAGAACTTGATATTACAGTTTTATAAAAAAAAAGATATTAATATAACATACCGTAGAATACTCATTTGTTTTCATTGTTAAATAACTCTCTATACAAACAGAAAATATAAACACAAAATAAAATAAATTGGATTTATTTGAAATTGCTTTTGTGAAATATAAACATAAGTGAAAGTAATAAATGTAAATTATAGTTTCGAGGTAGGAGGAGTTATAGGAACTGAAGGAGACTGATTATGAATACAGTGATCTAGAGTGTTGTTGGAGTTATGAAGGCAGTTGACACTTCCCGGTTGACCACACCGTGGAAGGGTTCTTCTAGAGGTACCTGAAAAGGAAATTGGGTTAGAAGTGGTCTTAATCATCTGAGAGCGTGACCGCAGTGCCCAAGGGAGAACTGCTTGAGGTTGGTCACACACGACCTTTTTGTGGGTAGTTATTGTGTTAGCTCCGTACTTGTTGGGACCTTACCTTACCCCAACTAAATCTAAATTGTTACTCCAGGACTGGCCTGCATCAACACCTGAACTAAGGATAGGGAGTGAAATAGTCGAACGCGTCGATAACCACTTATCTTGGAAGTCTGATCAGCCCTAATGGGTTGGTATCTGACGAAATCTCAGCACAGATTCAAAAAGCTCGTTTGGTTTTTGCCAACTTATTTCGCTACCCATAGCGAAGACGAGATATCCGTCTATCAATCTTTGATTACAATGTAATATATTGTCTAATTTGTTCTTGATATAATAAAACTAGTTAACTATATAAAGAAAGGAAGATAAAATAATAAATTCAACAAGTGACAAGAAGAACAGAGAGAGAATCCATGGAAATGTTTATTTAATTTCATTCAAATAAAATAAACTCGATTGCATTAATAGCCCCAAATGCCCTGATACGGTCGAGGGTGAGGAGAGTACGCTCTCCATCTTGAAATGCTCTCACATGGCCACGTGTACATAGCCTCTATCAGGGAAGTCCTACTCACTGCCTTCTCGTGGCATTACTGTTGTTTACGAAATTGAGAGGACGAAAAGCGAATGTCCGGCACTTTAACCGGGTTAGTGAACACGGAAAGTTCACCTAGGGAAGTTAAAAAACCCTCATTCCAAATCAATGGTGCACATGGGCTCCAGTATCCTGAAGGAACAAATGGTGCATGAATCAATCGTTGGTCACCGGCTACCATGGGACTGCATCTCCTCACGATGCTCCATTGACTTGTGGACTAGACCTTTAGGTCAATATTTATTATTTATTTATTTAAACACATATATATTGGTACAAAAGGGCACCAGGTACATATGCGCCACACACAAATGAATGAAATTATGAACTCTATTGACGATAATATCCCTGGTCATACTAAACGCAAGACGATTAACATTATTATCATTATTACCTTTATTATTATTACCTTTAGGTCAAAGGCTCCGGGTGTGGTCCCCTAAGAAAACCACCTGCTTCAGTTTGGTCACCTAGGCAGTATCACAGCCCTCACACAAATCAAATGAGATTTGTGAGGCGCATATTTATCTGGTGCATTTTGTACCGATATTTATGTGTTTAATTAAATTAAATGTACCACAAAGGAGAACGATTAAACAGCTCAGTTACAAACTAATTAAAATTGGACATGTAGGGTAATAATGCAAACAGACAACTTCTCTATAAGTAGTGATTATTACTATACTTACTTTGTCTAATCGATAATGCTCTAAGTTCGAAAAATTGCATACCAGTCATTGATAACCAATCTAATGAATCCCCACTGTTGAAAAAAATGTAGAATGTAAAGTGAAGTTTTTGTAATAGATATTTGATAGAAAATACAAATGTTATAAACAGAAAATAATATGACTAACTCTGTAAGCGTTTCCCATCACAGGAAGTACGGAAATAATGAGTGTTACTACTAACACATGTAAACTGCATTCTTAGCCGGTTCCGATAACCCCAAATACTTTTACACGTCTTTGGAACACTAAAGGTAAAACGTGTATCGTGAGTAAAAGCTTTACTCTAAGGTTAGTTTGTGAACAGAAAAACGATGGTAATTATTAGGGTACAGGCGACCTTGAGCATCTGGAAATTTTCGAAACCGTAATAAATATAGTATCAGTATAGGTGAATATCCAACGCAAACAGTGGTAAGTGATCCTAACGTTTCTTAATGTTTCTTTGAGGATTCCATTCAATGTTGACTGGACAAAATGTTTCCTAGTGTCTCTGGGCATCTAGGGACTTTAACGAAGGATATTTCTGGGCTCGTTCAAAACAGCCAGGATTATTATTTATTTGGTGATGGGTTTCGACGTATTCAACTAGTATATAGTCAATAACTGGTTTTAAAATACTATAATGTTTCCATTACGCAGTAAATTGTTTATGACTAACTGATTACTATTTGTTTGTATAAGATTAGTCAGTAATGAAAAACTATAAAAGTGAGCTGAAAAGACACTAACTTGCACAAAGTTCGTTCATACGAAAAGTATTTTCTAAGCCATAAACCTTAATAAATTATCTCTCAAGGCATGTAAATTACCCCCGATACTTGAATAAATAATGTGTGAAGTCTACACATTTTAGATTTCGATCGTTATACCGCAGGTTCGAACCCTGTTTTATTGATAAGCTATAAAAAACCATGTGGTCAAAAATTGAGTACGAACGCTTATAACTCGTAAAAAAATTCCTTCAGTTTACACTCTTTAGAACTGTAAGGTTACTGTATTGGATAAGCGGACTTAGTTGTACATGATAACAGTATGAACGCTTAAGACAGTGCTAGTCATATTAAAACAGCAAACACAATATTTCTGAAATAAGGAGAGTTCTCAAGAAAATGCACTAACACGATGAAATACATAAAATTGCCTATGAATATCCATGAAAATATATGGTGTGGTTCAGTACTAGAAATCACCGAACATAGTTACAAATCCAATTAGCACTGTATGTTTGAATCTTCCCATTGATGCTTACGACTGCAACTGATCAGTCTATAATCGGCATATGTGCATACTGTGCGTATTGCCTCGATATACCTTAATTTATAAGCATGGTAAGCAGAGATGGATAGTGGCTAGCAGTGAAATGCAGTTTGACGTACGTTTCGTCCTATTTGGGACTCGTCAGCTGGATGTGTCGGAATCTCAGAGTTGATATTCACTCTAGGACTTGAACCCAGTACCTTTCGCTTTAAACGCCATCGCGTTATTCACTCAGCTACTGAGTCCTGATAGTCACTTGTTTAATTTTCAGAAACACTATTAGTGTGACTGAACTGATTAATATTTCAGTGAATGAAATTTACTGATTTGAATAGTAAACCACAAAGTTTCGCCTAGTGTATATCAACGTTGAAAAAAAAACATTTTTTTTAGCAAAACTGTTTTCTGTTTCCTTACAAATCCGTTGAGATTTGCCTATTTTCCGATTAGGATTATTTGGGTGAAAAGCAAAAACCGATTGTGAGCAGAACTTCCATGGCAGAGGCTATATACGCGTGGCCATGTAAGAGCATTTCGAGAGGAAGAGCAGACTCTCCCCACTCTCGGTCGTACCAGGGCATTTGGGGTACCTGAAAATAAAATTGGATTAGAGGTGGTCTTAGTGACCTGAGAGCGTGACCGCATTGCCCAGCGTACAACTGCTTGAGGTAATTTTTGCGTTAGCTCTCTACTTGTTGGAACCTTACCACCAGAGACGGAAATCTGTGCGATAACGTGAGGTGTGCATTTTTATGGTCGACCTTTTCTAACCTCACCCTGCTTTATGGGGAGAGAGGATGGCCGTTATGCTGATTGTCTGAAGGAAACACCTTACTTCTGTCACACCTATGTACAGACACCAGTATGCCTTTGCCCTCGGACCTTTCACTTGCTGCTTTTAGTTTTACGGCATTTCAGCTGGCCTTTCTGGCATGATGGGACCTGGAGGAACGATTGTTCCAGCCAGTATAGCTCGATTAGTTCATCACGATAGGCAAGCCCGATAACCAATTCAAGGTAGCAGCAACGGTCACCAAAAGTTTCTAACTATTAATTACGATAATCAAGTGGACCAATTCAAACAGTCTGCAGCACCTAATTGAATAGCTCATCCCAATAGTCATTGTCTTTGACGACTGAAGCGAGATTTCGGTTTGCACGCCCCTAGCTCTCTTCTAAGTTATTTCTACACCAGCCATCATTGCGTGCTGAATTAGTTGGTGGATAGACATAAATAATATATCCTGTAACCATCTCAGTCGATAAAGATTTACTACCTCGTTAATCGATTTACCATACTTACATAGTACTCCAAGTCTAACTTTTTAATTGCTTACTCGATCGTTCCAAAGCATACAGTCAATGGTTGGAATACACCTACGATCAAATGCTGGTAACCTACGAAGATAGTTTATTACTAAAGGTCTTAATTCACCGTCGCAAATCAAAGCATACTATCTACGCCTCAAGGACACAATTTGACAAGAACCAATCATGCCTTCTGAATCTGTCTTAACATATCATCAAACAACAAACCACTGATGAGACTCCCATGATAAATGTAGCAGTCGATGATTTCAACTACTCTACGCCCTATCAGACGATGACACACACCAATCATGAAGTGACATTTACATAAGAAGAGAGAGAACCACATCCCAAGTATGCTTACATTGTTGCTTAAGGTCGCCAGAAAACTCTTGATATTATCAGCATCTTCACAAAACAGAAATATATCATTTCTGTATTTAAAGTACACAAGAGAATCTCCTGTTGAAAATTCAACCCATCAAGGTTCATATAACGATGGGTTATGGTGAATAACCGCTAAAAGTTGACAATTCTGATGGCAGTTCAACTAAAGCTCTGACTCGACTAGTAGCGTTCATTAAGAGCCTTTTGCGATGTTCATGTACTTCATTGGTACACCTCTTTCAATGACAGAACCAACTATCAAAATCAAAAGAGTTTGACTAATGATTTCTAACAACAATTCAATTTTTAAAAAAAAATATATTAGGATAATGAATTCATTTACTTACTCATAGTATTGTCTTTCTGGGAGTATCAGGCGTAAATGGGTAAATAAGTATTGTCCTTGTGAAAGGATACAATACTTTAGATTATATTTTATGAATGGTTGAAAATATTTACAAAACATAGATAATAACTTCCTTTCATTAATACATGATGTAAAATGAAGTAGTTGATATAACTCTAATAACAAAAAAGAACAAGAAAAGTAGTCAAAAGGTTATAATAATGATCAGTAGCATGTTTTTTTTATTTAATAAATCGTAAAGTAAAGTCACCATCTTGAAACACCGACTTCGGTAGCTTGGACATGTTTTACGAATGTCGTCCCAGAGAATTACACGTCGTGCATTATTTGCAGACTCTGGGACTGATTAGAAAAAGCAGGGAGGTGGTCAGTGTATGACATGGTGTCGTGCTATGAAAGAAAGCTTCAAAGAGATGGCCTCTGTTGGTCCTTCACGACTCCCTGTCTAGGGTCGGAGAGATGGTTAACACAGTGGCTAGAGACGTTATCAGATATGGCTCAAAATAGAAGCCAGTGGCGATCCTGCTGCAACCTTCTTTTACTTTCTACATAAAGAGTGGTTCTAACTTTCTTAACTGAGAGTTTTTCTGGTTGTACATTTCAGTTCCTACCATCATTACTCTTCTCTTTTTTTCTTTTATATATACACATCTTCCCCCCTTTTCCCCCCATTCTCATTATTTTGTGTGGCGCATATTTATCTGCTGCCCTTTTGTACCAATATGTATGTATTTAAATAAATAAATAAAGTAATCTCATTGCAATTTAAAATTTTATCCATAATAAATTGTAGAATTATTGAAATTCAAAAACAGAAGTCCCTCATCATCATTAAAACATTACAATTAGTCAGCTATATCACAGTTTATGAACTTACATCAATCCTTACAATGCAATGTGTCTTTCTAAGGCATTCATTTACACTTTGACTTCCCAGTGAAATATGTAACTCCTTGTGCGTAAAGCAATTTTTCTATGAACAGTATAGAAAAGTTCCTCTCCCGTAGCCAATCTTTTCTTTACAACCTGATTCAAAAAGGTTTCAGTTATTCAGAGCACCGCCAAGTTGTATCTCCTAACTTCAGCATGAAGACCCTTCAACTCTCACGACAGAGTTTAAATGGTTTTAATAATTTGTTATGGTGAGTGGATTTTTTTAGTAAGTCTTTTCTACAGGATGGAGCTTTCAACTTGTGACTGACAATAACCTTAGAAGAGCTCTAAGCCAATACTGACTTTTTCATTGTCTAATATTTCGTTTGTAAAAATCAGTACACAAAGAAAAGCACCGCGTCAAATGCAATGACCGGCAAATGAAGAAAAAGAATGCAAAGATCTAATAACTGAGACAAGGATAAATACAAAAATATAAGTGTAACTCATCTGCTATGAACACATTCGTGTTGGATAGGCTCTAAGCTCATCCATCTGTGAATCAGAAAATCAAGAAATAGCAGATAATGTCAGGGTTTAGGCCGAAATACACAGAAGCAAACAAACGAATAAATAAGACGATTAGAGGAGAAAACAGAAGAGAATGGGAGCATTCTCATAGATGAAAAATATCTGCGATTACAAAGAGCTGTAACACAATGTTAATGTCAGAATATTCAATACAAAAATTGTACGAAGCTAAGTAAAACTTATAGAACTACGACAAGCATCATCAAACACGTACAAATATTTATAAACAACTGTCTAAACAACATACTCCACAACTGTTGATCAGATAACATTACCAATATCCTACTCTAGCAGAAGATAAACCAATTTCCATCTGGAGAGGAAGTCGGGAAAAGTCTCTGAAGGTGTGTAGGACGTACATTGCAAAATTCATCAAACCACATCACAACCCACACCCTAGCAGGGAATCCTTAACACAATAGTAGAAGAGAAGAACCAAGGGACACATTTCACTAGCAATTGGTGGCGGACAGTAAAATAATGAATAGCACTCGGTAACAGCCGGGAACGAGACCCCCCCAACAGATTTGGTTGATGAATCCTGTTTGGCGACAGGTTTTAGTAAGTAAATATATTAAAAAAACATTTTAAAAAATGTTTATTTTGTATAGCTCTTACCAGTAATGCCTTTGTTTATCAGTATAAAGTATATTACAAAAGGCACGACAATATCCAATGTCTTTTCATCCATACTACCGTGAAATAGATATATATATATAATATAAAAGAAAAATATCAATCAAATTACAGACTAGAAATCGGTCAATTAAAATTCAATACAACAAATTATTAAACAATTTTATAGATTTTGGAAAATAGTGTATAGTAGTTATATTGGTTGGACTAACTTTTGGAGTAATAAACAGTTGAACTAGATAGATTGCTTATTCCAATATCTGCTTTTATATCAGAATACTATCTTGATAAGAAGTTAACGTTTTATAACGACCTGCTAACTAAGTTGAGTAGGTTTACTCTTTCCTGATGTTCTATTGAATTTCATCGATCAAGTTGCAACTTCACTGCCAACCTGAGTGACTCGACATTGCGTTCACTATGTTTCGATGTTACATGATCGGAGGTACACGGCAAGAAATTTGGCCTATGTTTCGTGTTAGTTGACACTCACCAATCACGGTTCAAATAACCCAGTTGCGACGTCTCAGGATATCAAACTGGTTGACATGGATTCTAATCTAACAGGGAGTATTAATAACTTCAAGATTACAGGTGTCTTGCAGACGAGCGACAGTTAACTCAAAACAAAACTTGATAACTCTTTTTCAACTATTTTTAACAAGCTGGACTAATTTATTTTAAAAGCAGTTCACTGAACAACCTGTTAAATTAAGGATCTAGAATTACTGTAGGATAAATTAATCCGAAAGTTCATACAACAAAGATATCTTTAAACAAAATGTGAATTGCGTTGTCAGTCAGTCAGTCAGTCACAACGTAGAACTTCGTACGTACGTACATCAGTTCCAGTTGCCATACCACATTAGCACAGAAATGAAATTGTCAATTCAAATCCCATAGTAGTAGGAGTAGTAAGAGTATAAGCAGTAATCCGAAAGATTAGGCTTTGACGATGTTATTCCAGAAGTATAATACGGTGAAATAAATTTCGAAAGAGAAAGAGGATAGGAACATGAAGAATTCGGAAGATTAGAATTTGGTAGAACACAAAGAGTGGATGCACCTTCACCATTGCAAACGATTTTGAGCCATTTCATTCAAAGTCTTTAACCATTGTGTTGTACCACAAATCATATTTTTCTAAAATTCTGCTAACACTGCTGGATAAAAACAGAATGTCGACTGGAAAATATGCTGGTTACCAACCTTTTCAATGATTCAACAAGGATTTGATATTTCGAATTATTGATCGCTGCACAAAGGTCTTTCGAAACTACATTTGACGATAACCCAGTATCTGATAAAACATTACGCAAATCACTGGACGATAGTTTCTGAGAGTGAAAGCAAAAATATTTTAAAAAAATGAACAAAGTGATATGACATTCACTTATTAAATTAGAATGTAAAATAATGTAATATTATTAAATTCATTTAGTATTGTTTGTTTGAATCACACAAGCAAGTGGCTATCAAGACTCAGTGGCAGAGTGGATAACGTGATGGCGTTTGAAGCGAAAGGTACTGGGTTCGAGTCCCCGAGTGAATATCTACTCTGAGATGCAGGTACATCTAGCAGACGAGTCCCGGATAGAAAGAAACGCTCGTCCTGGATTCCACTGTTAGCCACTATCAATTTTTGATTACAATGTAATATATTGTCTAATTTGTTCTTGATATAATAAAATTAGTTAACTATATAAAGAAAGGAAGATAAAATAATAAATTCAACAAGTGACAAGAAGAACAGAGAGAGAATCCATGGAAACGTTTATTTAATTTCATTCAAATAAAATAAACTCGATTACATTAATAGCCCCCAAATGCCCTGGTACGGCAGAGAGTGGGCAGAGTCCACTCTCCATCTTGAAATGCTCTCACATGGCCACGTGTACATAGCCTCTATCAGGGAAGTCCTACTCATTACTTTCTCATGGAATTACTGTTATTTACGAAATTGAGAGGACGAAAAGCGAATGTCCGGCGCTTTAACCGGGTTGGTGAACACGGAAAGTTCACCTAGGGAAGTTGGAAAACCAATGGTGCACATGGCTCCAGTATACTGAAGGAACAAATGGTGTATGAATCAATCGTTGGTCACCGACTACCATGGGACTGCATCTCCTCACGATGCTTCACTGCCTTGTGGATCAGACCTTTAGGTCAAAGTCTCCGGGTGTGGCCCCCTAAGAAAACCGACGGCTTCGGTTTGGGCACCTGGGCAGTATCACAGCAGTCACACAAATCAAATGAGATATTTGTGGCGCATATATATCTGGTACTTTCTTGTACCAATATTTATGTGTTTAAATGAATAAATAAATATATAAACATTAATATTGGTCATTTTCGAAGTGATGGATTTGTGACGTCATTTATTACTTGAGGCAGAAAGTATATGGGAACGACTTCATGAAGGGGATTTACAAAGTTTTTATAATATATTCCTCGAAAGCTGTGTATTCATAAGCGTTGGTTCAGGTTGCCGCATCATATTAACACAGCGAAATAAAATTACCAAAACAAATCCCAGAATAGTAGAAGCATTAACAGAATTGGAAGTTGTAGAAAATACTAAATATATGACTAAAACATGTATACAGACTTTTTACGACTTAGGTTCTGAGAAAAGAGTGAATGTACGTGTGCCACATGTAAACGATTTTGAACCATGTTACCTATCAATTTCCAATCCTTATTCGCAATAATCACACGGATCAAAATCAGGTAGTTTGCTTCCACTTACAAGGCTCAGTCTAAATTGTCAACAACCTTATAGACTGATGCCACAAGTCGGATCGCTAGACATTTAATGGATAGTGGGTAAAACGTGGATACTACAAAGGTGTTAAAAATAATGAACGAGGAGTGAACCCCGCTTATAATCTGCTTTGGAAAGATAATCATCATCTAGTGTTTTCAAATCAGCATTCATATACAGAACAGTGCTGTAAGAGGTATGACGGCAGTTATCACTTCCCGGTTGACCACACCGTGGAAGGGTTCTTCTAGAGGTACCTGAAAAGGAAATTTGGTTAGAAGTGGTCTTAATGACCTGAGAGCGTGACCGCATTGCCCAAGGGTTAACTGATTGTGGTTGGTATTTTATTGGGGAATTTTTGACCTGTTAGCTCCGTTCTCCAAAGGACCTTACCGTCGGAGACGGAAATCCGTGGGATAAGGCAAGGTGTGCATTTTTAGGGCCGACCTTTTCTAACCCCACCCCTCCTTGTTTGAAGGCAGCATCGCTGTCATGCTGGTTGTCTGAAGGAAACACCTTACTGCCGTCACACCTCTGTACAGTCGACAGTACGACTTCGCCTTCGGACCTTGGGTTTGCTGCTTTTAGTCTTACCGCTCTTCAACCGACCTGCCTGGCATGGTAGGACAGTAGGTAGATTTCATTCAGTTTAGAGGTATATTTTATTTATTTATTTAAACACATACATATTGGTACAAAAGGGCAGCAGATAAATATACGCCACCCAAAATAATGAAAATAGGAAGAGAAAGAATGAAAAGATAAGGCGGACTGAAATGTACAACCGGAAGACTCTTCCAGCTAAGGAAGTTATAATCACTCTTTATGAAGAAAGTAAAAGAAGGTTACAGCAGGTTCGTCACTGGCTTCTATTTTGAGCCATATATGATAACGTCTCTAGCCACTGTGTTAACCATCTCTCCGACCCTAGACAGGGAGTCGTGAAGGACCAACAGAGGCCATCTCTTTGAAGCTTTCTTTCATAGCACGACACCATGTCATACACTGACCACCTCCCTGCTTTTTCTAATCAGTCCCAGAGTCTGCAAATAATGCACGACGTGTAATTCTCTGGGACGACATTCGTAAAACATGTCCAAGCCATCGAAGTCCATGATTCAAGATGGTGACACCAATCTGATTATCGTCTCTGCGCCCGATCACACGGTGCCGAACCTCTGCATTACTAATATGGTGTTGCATTGGCTATCAGCAATCCTTCGGAAACAACAATGACCAAACACAGAGTCGTCGAACATCCTCAATCCGGAGAAGTCAGGCTTCACAACCATAGAGTAAAACTGCTTTCAACGACGCGTTGTAGATCCGATCTTTTACAGCCCGACTAACATCACGAAGGCGCCAAAGATGGCCCAGATTGACATAAGCCGCTCTGGCTTTCACAATAAGTGAATTGGTCTCATCACTTATGACACCACCGGCACTTATGTAGCTACCTAGATACACGAACTTTTCAACTACTTCAATCTGTTCACCACTCAGAGTGAGTACAGGATTAGAATCCTGCCAGTCTTGTAGGAGTACTTTGCACTTGGAAGGTGCAAAGCACATGCCGTACCTGCGGACACTGATTGCCAACTGATTAAGTTCGGAGGTATAACTTACTTTGCGATAAGGAATCGAGAAGAAAAATACAGCTGTAAAACCACTGAGCTTTGTTCTGAGTTCTATCTAAAGACATTTCAAGCCTTTGCAGTCGGACAATCTCTATGATCCGAACCAAGAAGTCATAATGGACTGACTATTTTATTTTACAACTCCATGTTATGAACTGAAAGTCTGGATATTTTCAAAAGTGACTTTTTCTACACATGAATTGATTAGATTTGCAACCCTATAACTGGCTCTCAAAGTTACTTACATACACGCGTTTTTTTTTCTTAAGGCACATTATAAAAAGCAAATGTAACTATCAACCTCTAAAAATTGTCGAGGAGTACTTTGCGCATCTGAGTGAAGAAGAGTTACTATCTAAACAAAGGAGTAGATTGAGTACATCACTTTAAACCGTTACACTGAATAAACTCAACAACTAAGAACAAAATATTTTTTAAAAAAGATAGATCAACAGTTGTCATGTTTTTTTTATTTCGATAAACAAAGACATACCACTTTAGAAAAGTTATTCAATTTTGAAATTGTATCCAAGATCCATCTATTAATAGGATCTAATTGTGATATTGAATTATGAGTAAAATTGTAAACCAAAATCAAAGTATCTTGACAATATGAATTTGTTCCTAGTTATAGGAAAAAAATAGACAATGATAACATGCTCTTTATTGTCATATTAGGTAGTATGAAACAAACTACTACTGTCAACTTTAAACAATATATAGTTGTTGTGATTACTGATTGCATTATGATAGAATATTGATGTAGGTTTGTTCTCTGAACTGGATGGTTTGATGGTGGAGCTTTCTTCGTCCTTCTGAACACGACATCATCAGCACAAACTTCGGGTAGAAGTGAAGTGTTTGAATTTCTCCACATATGATTTACAGCTTGTCCTGTGCATCTCGATGTCGATTGGTTTTTATTGACCTTAAAGCTGTCATTGTTTATTTCTTTGTTTTGGTTGTATCTCACTTCTATCCGAAGTTTGTGCTGATGATGTCGTGTTCAGAAGGACGAATAAAGCTCCACGAAAAAAACATCTAGCTGAGAGAACAAACATACATCAAAATCACCCACCTGAGCTACAAATCTTCTCCACCATCTCATTATGATAGAATACTGATAGATGCTCGTAAACTCATCCCACCTGGCTCTGAACATAACGAAGAGCGGAGTCAACTTAAGCGCAGGCTTATAAGAAGCCTACGTAATGATCGTGAACAGTGGTGGGTAGCGAAAGCAAGAGAGATGGAAAAGGCAACGGCAATAGGTAACAGTAGGCAGCTATTCAGACTCGTTAAAGAAACCGGTATTAGGAACCCGAATATCAGTGAAACCATCTCAGATAAAGATGGGCATATTATTCATTCTCAATCCAGGAGATTGGATCGATGGGCAGAACACTTTAGGGATCAGTTCAACTGGCCTTCAGCCACACTTCAATTACCCACGATCCCCAGTCGTCCTGAATGGCAAATTGATGTAAGTCCTCCAACCTTCTGTGAGGTTGAAAAAGCTATAGGAAATCTGAAGCGAGGGAGAGCAGCAGGCCCTGACAGGTTGACCCCTGAGATTTTTAAGGATGGTGGTCCAGTACTAGCAGTGAGATTGACTGAGGTCTTAGGTAGAATCTGGGAACTGGACGTAATTCCATCTGACTGGTCCCAATCACTGATTGTGCTAGTCTATAAGAAAGGACAAAAGTCCTCCTGTGACAATCACAGAGGGATCAGTTTGACTAATATGGTGTCTAAAATATTAGCTTCAATAATACTAGGTCGCCTAACCAAAGCTCGTGAACAGCAGACTAGAGAAAACCAGGCTGGTTTTCGACCTAGACGTGGTTGCACAGACCAGATATTCACCCTACGTCAGGTCCTAGAACATAGACATACATTCAGACGTCCCACAATAGTAGTATTTCTTGACCTTAAGGCGGCATTTGTATCCGCTGATCGTGAGGTTCTATGGCAATGTTTGTCACTGAAAGGAGTACCAAAGAAGTACATTAACCTCATAAAGGCTCTCTACTCGAACACAACTGGTCGAGTTAGAGCCTATGGCGAACTGTCATCAGAACTGATTACCACAAGTGGCGTTCGTCAGGGCTGTCCACTCTCCCCATTCTTGTTTAACTTTGTCATTGACATACTTTTAGAAATAGCACTTTCATCAGCTAAACCTCCAGGAGTTGAACTTTTACCGGGAGATTCACTTGTTGACTTAGAATACGCCGACGACATAGTTTTACGCGGTGAAGACGCTGACAACATGCAGCGTCTTCTGACCACTATAAGCAACAATGCAGGCATGTTCGGGATGCGATTCTCTCCCTCGAAGTGCAAAATGTTACTTCAGGATTGGGTTGCAGCGACACCTGAACTAATGATAGGGAGTGAAGTAGTTGAGCGTGTAGACCACTTCACTTATCTTGGGAGTCTCATCAGCCCTTGTGGTCTGGTATGTGACGAAATCTCAGCACGGATACAGAAGGCCCGTCTAGCTTTCGCCAACTTGCGTCATTTATGACGTAGGCGAGATATCCGTCTAGCAACCAAAGGACGGGTTTACTGTGCAGCAGTTCGCTCCGTCCTACTTTATGGCAGTGAAACATGGCCAATAAGAGTAGAGGATATTCGTAGGCTGCTAGTATTCGATCATAGGTGTCTTCGAAGCATTGCTCATATATCCTGGGACCACCGGGTAAGTAATGCAGTTGTTAGGAAACGAGTACTAGGTAGGGATGGCAAATCGATTGATGAAGTAGTGAAATTTCATCAGTTGAGATGGCTGGAACATGTATTACGTATGCCTTTTTTGACCACCGACTGCCCCGACGTGCATTGTTTCATGGTGTAGGAGTATGTTGGAAGAAAGCTAGGGGTGGCCAGACCAAAACGTGGCACAAATCTATGAAGTCACTGACAAGTGGACTGGGCCATGTTGGTAGGTGTAGACTACCTGGTTGGGATTCGCGAGATGACAGCAACCGTTGGTTAGAGACATTGAATGACATGGCTGAAAATCGTTTGCAATGGCGAAGGTGCATCCACTCTTTGTGTTCTACCAAATTTTAATCTGAATTCTTCATGTCTGTATCCTTTTTCTCTTTCCAAATTTATTTCACTGTACTATACTCCTTCAATAATTTCTTCAAACCCTAATCTTTTGGATTTCTGATTATACTCCTACTTCTACCACTATGGGATTTGAATCGACAACAGAATCTCTGTGCTAATGTGGGATGGCAACTGGAACTGATGTACGTACGTACGAAGTTCTACGTTGTGACTGACTGCCTGATTATGATAGAATTCCAAGAACCTCATAAAAATTTAAGCGCTTGTGTTCAGGATGACTATAAGTTCTCATCAGAAAGGGTAGAATACAAATGAAAATAATCTTAGTGACTAATAGGAATATAGAATTTGATCATGAATATTGGTAACGACCCTATGATTTATCAATTGTATGGGATTATATGTAATTATCATCTAAGAAAGTCATCTTTATAGTGTATTCAAAATTAAATAAACTCGCCTCTCTTTAAACTTATTACCGAATAACTTTCAACAAAACGTATAAAATAGTAAGCTACTTTTGAATAACCCCCAAATGCCCTCGTATGGCCAATAGTTGGGAGAGTCCACTCTCTCTCTCTCCAAATGCTCTCACATGGCCACGAGTATATAGCCTCTGACAGGGAAGTACTACTCACTGCCTTCTCGTGGCATTACTGTTGTTTACGAAATTGAGAGGACGAAAAGCGAATGTCCGGCGCTTTAACCGGGTTGGTGAACACGGCAAGTCCACCTAGGGAAGTCGGATGACCTTGATTACAAATCAGTGGTGCACATGGGTTCCAGTATCCTGACGGAACAAATGGCGTATGAATCAATCGTTGGTCACCGACTACCATGGAACTGAATCTCCTTACGATGCTCCATTGCCTTAAGGATCAGACATTTAGATCAAAGGCTCCGGGTGTGGCCCCCAAAGAAAACCATCTGCTTCAGTCTGGGCACCTGGACAGTATCACAGCCCTCACACAAATCGAATGAGATTTGTGTGGCGCATATGTATCTGGTGCTTCCTTGTACCAATATGTATGTGTTTAAATAAAATAAAAATAAAGATACTTCTGAATCATTACGGAAATCATCAAATAAAAAATCGGAAAGAAAAGTAAACTTACTCAACACAGTTAAAAGATTGTTATAAAACGTTAACTTTTTATCAGGATAGTGTTCTGATATAAAATCTGCCATTGGAGTAATCCAACTAGTCTAAAGAATACAGAAAAAAAACAGTATAACGTTACAGCAATAAAATTTAAATGAACAACGATAATAAATAAGTATTTGTTTACGCTAAGAATAGGAAAACTGTGCTGTGGTCCGAAAGATGTTTGACATTTATAACCGTTAAATCCACACCTATTATTCCTAGCCAATTTCACCCATGCTCAGTCCAACTGATGAAGGCTATTCCTCCGGCTCCGTGCAGGCGTTGCGGTATATGGCATTTTGTATGTACCTACCCATTTAAGCATATTTGGTGCAGAAAGTGTAAATCCATGGGTTACAGAAATGAACTCTGGCAAAGGAGGAAACCAAATCAGTCCAGAAGTGTTAGAAAGCCTATTTCTAAATCTAAATATGCAGCATTATCACACGTTGATGGAGAACCGAATTGCCTTCATCTACATGAAGTTATCACACCCTTTTTTATTCTGCTTGGGCGTTACTTATTGTGGTTTATCAAGGAAGCTAATGACACAACACGATTATGAGCAGATTTCTCCACATGTCTTAAAGTAGCTCTAGAACAGCACTATTACCCGCTGCCAGTTCCCACAAATTCGTTCACTATTCTAAACGATGGAAAGTTCTTCGCAAAGCTGGACCTCCTGATGATTATTTACACATGGAAGCGGTTGAAGAATTAAGAGAACAACTGACCATTAATACTGAATGTAGCTTGTTTCAGAAGGGGATTTGTAAAGATTTCAGTATATTTAAAAGTTGAAATCATGAAATTATTATAATCGTCTACCATTTGGAGCTAAGACCAGCCCATTTATTTCCCAGAAACTTCTGGGAACTATCCTATCGAATATCCTGGGAGTCACAACCTATGTTAATAATATTTTAATTGTTGCCACTTTGTTAGAAAAGCTAAAGGAACGTACGACGGCTATGCTAAAACGCGTCAGCGATAATGGTTTCCGATAACGTTCAGAAACGTGTCGATGCTTTTAGTCGGTAAAGTATTTGGTATTCTTCTGTGATGCTGCAGGCTTCTTGACCAGATCCCAAAAAAACTCGAAGTATACAGTAGATGCCTACTCCCACCTTCTCTGCCAACAATCGTTTTTGGGATTAATTAGCGGTTACTCAGCCTTTGGTGCGTTGATGCATGCCATCTGGGAACATCTGAATTCTCTGCTGAATAAGTAAAGAACTTGGAATCGGACAAAATAATGTGAAATGGCATTTTGCAAACTCAAGACTACTATTAGTTCGGAATTATTACAACCGCACTGCGATCCATCCATGTCAACCATCGTGGCTGTGGATGCTATAGTTTTTGAACTTGGTGTCGTCGTTTCTGTTATATCCCCTGGTGAATTATGAATGATAACTCTAAGGACTATTTATCGACCAATGTATTATGACTATTTCTTATTGTACAGTTGTTACGTAACTAAATTATTCATATTCGTTTTCTCTTATCATTAGCTTTATTTTGATCTTTGATTTATGATCATACGATTCTTGAGTTATAATCAGTTTATTGATTACTTTGGTTTGTATAAAAACCCAGTATGTTTGTAAATAATGATTCATATTGCCGAGGCTGTTATTTGTGTTTTGGACTCAACTGGCTGGGCTAGGCAGTTAGGAAGGACCGAATAGCAATCAAGACTGCTCGTACGTATTTTCTGTATCATTGCACGTTTCATATACAATAACGATTGTTATACGAGACATAACAGTTTCACATCGATTTCCGGGTGCCACAGAAAAAGCGATCACGCACGCACATTAACTCCTGCAGAAAAGAAGTATAGCTAGATGAAGAAAGAGGCACTTGCCCTTATTTCTGCTGTTCGTCGTTTTTACCAGTTCTTGTACGGCCAAAGATTTACTTTTCTAACAGAGCATAAGCCATTTCTCACGATTTTCGGTTCAAAATCTGGCATTTCAGCCCATTCTGCAAATCGTCTCCAGCTTTGGGCCTTGGTACTATTATGTTATGACTTCGACATTCAATACCGATGCACCCAACACTTTGGTCAGGTAGATGCTTTGCCGCGGTAAATCAGCGAACATACTGAGGCAGAGGAATACATGGTTATCGCCTCGTTTTCGACAGAAGACAACGCAGAATGTTACTTGAGGGCTGACAATAGTTGTTTGCCAGTGTCAGTCAGCATCAGGAATACAAGCTGCCTCCAGGAACGACCCCATCATTAAGAAAACGACGAACAACGTGACCAACGGTTGGCCATCTACTGTTTTTGATGATGATATGCAGCAACTTTACCCCCGTTAGGATTCATAATGCATCACGAACAAATGCATGGTGTTTGGAGAAAGAGTGGTGGTGTCAGAATCCCTAAGATCAAAGGTGCTGAAGCAGTTTCATATTAGTCATCCTGGTGTAGAGCAAATAAAGTCTATAGCTAGAAGTTATGCATATTGGTCACTGATAGACCAACACATCACAGAATCAGTAGGTAAATGCACTTATTGATATGATGAATCCAAAAGTATTATGAGAAATATGAACTCTGAATAAAGACCGAAAGTCAGTCAGTCAGCTACAACGTAGGACCAGGCACATTTATGCATCGGTCCAAGTTGCCATACCTCGTTAGCACAACAAGATGAACACTGGATTCATAGTAGTAATTAATTTAGTGGTGGTAGTAGTATATAAATTATACGTTGTATACAAGGATACAGTACAGGAAGGAAGAGAGATATGAAGCAATTTTAGTCTCAAGGTTTAAAGGAAGATAAAGAGTGTATACACCTACGCCATTGTGATCGATTCTGAGCCATGTCACCTAGAGTCTCCAACCATTGGTTACGATAATCACGCGGACACCAACCAAGTAGTCTGCATCTGCCAACATGGCTCAGACTAGAAGTTAGTGACTTCAAACACTGATGCCATGTTTTGGTTTGGCCGCCCCTAACTCTCTTCCAACAATCCCCTACACAAGTCATCATAGGGCGTCGTGGTAATCGGTGTTCAGGCATACGTAACACATGGCCCAACCATCTCAGTCGATGAAGATTCATCACCTCATCAACTGATTTACCATCGTTCCCTAATACCCTGCGTCTAACCTCACTATTACTTACCCGGTGATCCCAGCAGATGCGTGCAATATTTCTAAGGCATCTGTGGTCAAATACTAGTAACCTACGCTCATCTTCTACTCTTAATGGCCATGTTTCACAACCGTAAAGTAGAACAGAGCGAACTGATGCGCAGTATACTCGTCCTTTAATTGATAGACGGATATCTCGTCTTCGCCATAGGTGACGTAAGTTGGCAAAAGCCAAACGAGCTTTTCGAATCCGTGCTGAGATTTCGTCAGACACCAACCCATTGGGGCTGATCAGACTTCCAAGATAAGTGAAGATGTCAACGTGTTCGACTACTTCACTCCCTATCCTTAGTTTAGGTGTTGATGCAGGCCAGTCCTGGAGTAACAATTTACATTTGGATGGGGAGAAACGCATCCCAAACATCCTGGCATTATTACTGAGTTCCAACAGAAGACTCTGCATTTTGCCAGCGTCTTCACCAAACAGGACTATGTCATCTGCGTATTCTAAGTCGCTTAGTGGTCCCCCTGGTAGGAAATCAATTCCTGAAAATTCAGTTGCAGAGAGTGTTATTTCCAGCAACAGGTCTATAATAAAGTTAAACAAAAATGGGGATAGTGGACAGCCTTGACGGACACCACTTGAGGTTGTAAAATCATATGACAGTTCGCCATAAGCTCTCAATCGACTGGTAGTGTTCGAGTAAAGAGCCTTCACAAGGTTTATGTACTTCTCAGGTACACCTTTCAATGACAGACACTGCCACAGAACCTCTCGGTCTACAGAGTCAAATGCTGCTTTCAAGTCAAGAAAAACTATCGTTGTCGGACGCCGATAAGCATGTCTGTGCTCTAAAACTTGACGAATGGTGAATATGTGGTCCATACAGCCACGACCAGGTCTGAAGCCAGCCTGATTTTCTCGTGTTTGCAGTTCACGAGTCTTAGTTAGGCGCCCGATAATTATTGAGGCTAGTATTTTAGATGCTATGTTGGTCAGACTAATCCCTCTATGGTTATCGCAGGATTTTGGCCCCTTCTTATATATTGGGACAATCAGTGATTGTGACCAGTCAGGTGGGATTACCTTCGTCTCCCAGATTTTAGCCAGAATATTAGTCAACCTAATCGCCAAAATCGGACCACCATATTTAAAGACCTCTGGAACCAATCCATCTGGACCAGCTGCTCTTTCTCGTTTCAGATTACTTATAGCCTTTTGAACTTCAAGTAGGGTCGGCGGGCCTACTTCAATGTTCCATTCAGGTTTTCTGGGAATAGTGGGTAGTTGTGCAGTAGCTGAAGGCCAGCTAAACTGCTCCTTAAAGTGTTCCGCCAATCGTTCTAAACGTTTAGGTTGAGAGCAGATAAGGGTTCCGTCTTTTTCCGAGATTGTCTCACTCACACTTGACTTCTTAATTCCGGTTTCTTTTATTAGTCTGAATAGTTGCCTGGTGTTGCCTACAGCCGCTGCCTTTTCCATCTCTTTTGCTTTCGTTGCCCACCACTGCTCACGATCGTTCCTTAGACTTTTAGTTAACCTAGATCTAATTTCTTTACGCTCTTCGTCATGTTCAGAGCCTGATGGGATGAGTTTACGCGAATCCATCAGTGAAATAGATTTAGAAGAAATCCATTGGTTTTTTGAAGCTCTATGGTTTAAATGACTAATAGACGTCACTGCCGTTTCCACAGCTGTTCGTGTGTCTTTCCAAGCAGCATCTGGGTCAGTCTCGTTTACAGAACTGCCTAGATGTGAACTCAGTTGCTTCTGGAATTCGCATTTGGCTTTCTCGTCCTCCAGTTCAATCCTAATGGGTCTTCTTAGTGTACTTTTCCTGCGTCCTTTGAGGCGCAGACAAATGCGTGCTCGTATTAAAGCGTGATCAGAGTCTAAACAAGTATTCCAATACGAGCGACAATCTTCTATTGAGCCTCTCCAACGATGACTGATGACAATATGGTCTATTTGAGTCCATCGTTGGTTTGGTGCAGGTGGTCGTCATGTTAGACGATGTCTCTCCTTATGTTTAAAATTAGTGCTTGCTAAAAATAAACGATTGTCTGAGGATAGTTGCAACAGACGATCACTATTATCGGTTCGTTGAGCCGGAATACTAAAACACCCACCTAAATGTTTTTCTGTTCGATTCAAGCTGCCTACCTGGGCATTAAAGTCACCTACTACGACTACTATGTCTGAGCGCTTAGCTTTCTGAAGAAGCTCAGAGTTTTCTGTAAAAGTCATCTTTTACTTCATCACGGCTGCAGTCAGTGGGAGCGTAGGCAGAAACGACGAAAAGGCAACGACGTGTGTCCCTATCCTTACGAGTTCTTATGGAGCCATTTAGCCGGACAGCACACAGGCGACTGTTAACAGGGATCCATTCTAGTAGTGCCTGTTCTGCCCTTGTACTTAGTGCTATGCCTACACCTGTTAGTCCGCGAGAACTAGCCAACGGGACGCCAGATACACGGAGGGTGTATTTCGTTGGCTGTCCATTTTGGCGAGGTGAGGTCAAGTGAATGACCACACTGGGATCCTGTATGCGTGTTTCGGAGACACAGCATACATCAATGGTACGAGATTCTAGGGTTTTAGCTAAAGAGGCCTGTTGACCGATTTGGCATAGGGTACGTACGTTGAAGGCTTCAATGTGTAGTTTGGAGCGAGGTTTAAGTAGACCTGGGACAGCGTTTCGCGCACTAGAATCGTTGGCCATGGTGACACTTGAGGAGGAAACCGAGAGAGGAAGTTCAGTGTTGAAAGTCAAGGTAGAAGGAATAGTAGGAAGTAAAGAAGGAGATTGATTATGAATACAGTGGTCTTGAGTGTTGTTAGAGGTATGAGGGCAGTTATCACTTCCCGGTTGCCCACACCGAGGAAGGATTCTTCTAGAGGTACCTGAAAAGAAAATTGGGTTAGAAGTGGTCTTAATGACCTGAGAGCGTGACCGCAGTGCCCAAGGGACAACTGCTTGAGGTCGGTCACACACAACCTCTTTGTGGGTAGTTTTTGTGTTAGCTCCGTTCTTCAAAAAAAACCTTACCGCCGGATACGGATATCCGTGGGATAAGGCAAGGTGTGCATTTTTAGGGCCGACCTTTTCTAACCCCACCCCTCCTTGTGGGAAGGCAGCATCGCTGTCATGCTGGTTGTCTGAAGGAAACACCTTACTGCCGTCACACCTCTGTACAGTCGACAGTACGACTTCGCCTTCGGACCTTAGGTTTGCTGCTTTTAGTCTTACCGCTCTTCAACCGACCTTTCTGGCATGGTAGGACCTCGAGGAACGATTGTTCCAGCCAGCATAGCTCGATTGGTTCATCACGATAGGCAAGCCCGACCACCACGTCAAGGTAGCAGCAACGATCAGGAAAGACCGAAAATTCATGATTTTACAAAATAATAAACAAAGCAAACATGGAAATATAAGATAAGCAGTCATAATCGCCACAAGAGAAGTTTATAAAATAAAGAGTAAACATTGACTAACCTTTGCTACAGACAATCGAACAAGCTCATTTATGTATTCGTCTCCAGGCCATTTACTAATAATGTACTGTGAAACAAAAAAAGTAAATATTATTGATTAAAAGTCATTGATATAGACATAATTTCATATAAAAAGTGTTAAATAGACGTCAGATGGAAACTCTGAAGGATTTCAGTTGCTCTCCGAATAACTCAGTGGTAGCGTATTATTTCTCCTGTACGATTTTTTATTTATTTATTTAAACACATAAATATTGGTACAAGGGGGCACCAGATACATATGCGCGACACAAAACAATGAGGATGGGGATAACTGAAATGTACAACCAGAAAAATCTTTTCAGTTAAGGAAGTCATGACCACTATGGCGAGACTATAATTTATGGACGACCTTTGAAGGAATCTTAAGTAACCTTGAGAAATATTAGCCAATCTCAGAAGGCAGTTAGTATAAAGTAAAAAAAGATTATACAATGCCAAAGAATTAGAGTGAGTACACTTTCTTTTATATGGTCCCAAAACTTGTCACGGTTAGAAAGAGGTTCAAAGGTTCTAAAATCGCAATGCATAAGGTAGAGGAATTCATCCATATGGCTCCATAATACTCGGTTTGTGGAGCCATGATAAGGTCACACAAACTCTCAGCTTTGGTAACATGGCTTTAATATTGTTTGTATGTACTCCGGTTGTGTAAGTTTGTCATTTTTACTACGCATATATCCCTACAACACTCATACCTCTGAACAGGCGAAGCTTCAGTAACATCTGCGAATATTGCAGCCGATAATACTGGTGCTTTTATTAAACAGTTTCACAGCAATTATTATAATTTGCCTTAGTCTTAATTTGGATAGACAGAAAAAAGTTCCTATTCGAGCAGAATTCTTCCCCCAACACATATTACATCGAAGGATAAAATTATCAGGGTAGTCTAAGCAAAGTGTACTGCTCGATATCATGTCTGGCACTTTGTGGGCGGTTGATGCGACAAACAGCTAAATTCAAATTTCCAAAATAAAATTACAAAACTAAGCCATTTATTAAGTAAGTTCTGGGGATTTGACATCTCCAACAGGTCTACAAGTCAGTTGATCACCACAATTACAAATAAGAGAACTTCTTAGTAGTTTCACTTATTATAGCCGCTTAATTGTCACGTTTTCTCTAAAATCCTCTGTGAACCGATTGTACATGAGCATCAGGTACTGAAATTGGCGCTGTGGCCTTGAAGTCCCTCAGACGCTTCTGAGTGGCTGGTACATATGTTATGACTCGACCTAGCCGTCGCCAATTTGTTATGTTTTTGACCTAGGCTGTAGCCAATTGCTATGACTTGATCAAGGTCGTCGCTGATTCGTTATGACCTTACGAATTTAACAAGGACGTATTTCGCGTAAATTATCCACGCTCTAGCTTTCATTATACGTGAATCGATCTCATCAATCACCAACAGAAGCTAGCCCTTTGCAGCTCTCTTTCATGCCACGACACCATGTCATACACTGACCTCCTCTCCGCTTTCTCCAACCAGTCCCAGGGTCGGCAAATAATGCACGACGTGGAAGTCTCTGGGACGACATTCGTAAAACATGTCCAAGCCACCGAAGTCGGTGTTTCAAGATGGTGACACCAATTGAATTATCGTCTCTGCGCCCGAACACACGATGCCGAACCTCTGCATTACTAACATGGTGTTGCCACTGTATGTCAGCAATCCTTCGGAGACAACGATGATCGAACACAGAGAGACGTCTAACATCCTCAACTCGGAGAGGCCAGGTTTCACAAGCATAGAGCAAAACTGCTCTCACCGACGCGTTGTAGATCCGACCTTTTACAGCCAGACTAACATCACGAAGGCGCCAAAGATGGCCCAGATTGGCATAAGCCGCTATGGTTTTCATTATACGTGCATCAATCTCATCACTCACGCCACCACCAACACTTATATAGCTACCTAGATACACGAACTTCTCAACTACTTCAATTCGCTCACCACCCAAGGTGAGTACAGGATTGGAATCCTGCCAGTCTTGTAGGAGTACTTTGCACTTTGAACGTGCAATGCACATACCGTACATGCGAACAATGATTGTCAACTGATTGGGTGCGGACTGCATGGTTTGGGCATTATCGCACAGTAAGACAATATCATCCGCATACTCAAGGTCGAGAAGTCTTTCTCCAAGCAACAGATCCACACCACCATTACTTACATCCATCAGAGCTGTTTTCAGAATGCCATCGATGTCAAAGTTGAAGAGGAATGGCGGGATTGGACAACCCTGCCTGACCACACTGCTTGAATGGAACAATGGAGAAAGGTGGTTGTATGCCCTCACTCTGCCTAGAAAGGCATTTATGATCTCAGATTCACGGTACCCTGTTATACTGAAATTTATGTTCAAATTCATATGTTTTTGAATCAAATACACAAAAGTAACATCGGATATCTTTTCTCGTGTTCTGATTAAGCCTTGTAAACAGAAGAGTTCTCTGTGGGTCAGTAACAGTTAACAATATCAGGTCGCTAAGTCGAGGTATCATTACTGTAGATTTAAGCATGGGTGTGTACAAGGTTATATCACAATATATGTGCAAAGAAAATTCTGAATCATTTAAAATTACGTAAGTACAGAAAATGATATATGACAAAAATAGAAATTACTTGTAAAGTGGGAGCTTCAAAACCATTTTTGAATAATTGAAGTGCAACTGCCAATGTATTTGTCTTGCCAAATCCTGAGATAATTTCCGCTACTACATTAAACAATATTGAAAGTTTGTAAATATCATTAAAAGTGAAAATGAGTTGAAGAAATTATCAGAAGTAGCAAAGTATTGAAAAGACTTTTCAACTTCTACATTTCATCATTGTTAGCATTGCTAGAGATACATTCTACAAATTTTAAATGACGAAACTCTATAGTTTAGGTGGGTACGTTTCGTTGTGTTGTACTCCACGAGGATGAAAGTTACATGTTGTGAGGAATTGAAATGACATCCATTTGCGTTACATACAACAAAATTAATGACTTCATTTTGTTTAGGACTGCAATTGGTCAATCTCTTATTAGCATATGTGTATCCTGTGCGGATTGCCTAGATATTGCCTTAAGTTACAAATATTATAAGCAAAGATGGATGGCGGCTAAGTGGATAGCGCGATGGCGTTTGAAGTGAACGGTATTGGGTTCGAGTCCTGGAGTGAAAATCATATCAAGTATACAAGTTCATCCAGCTGTCGAGTCCCAAGTAGGACGAAACGCGCGTCCTGGATTCCACTGCTATCCACCATACATCTTTCCTTATAAAGTTACTAACTGTTTCTCAGTGTTTCTGACAGCCGTGAATGTGTGAATGAGTAATCACAAATTCTAAGAACTTAGTGATAAATTCAAGTCGACTGTCAGACAGTTAATGTAAAAACGATTATTATTTGAAACATAAGTAAATAACAGAAACTTTCATGCCCTCAACCAAGGCAATGATATTTGAATAACAGTTACGTATATCGTAAAACCACTGTTAAATAGTAATTCAGGGTCTTACAATAAAATTGACTTCCGTTAGAGTTGTGACTGGGAGGTAAAAAGCATGACTTCTTTCATCCCATGGTCCCTACAACTTTCAGTAACAAAAATGGATATTCGAGATATAAAAACATAAATCTAAAAAGAGAAATTAGATTCTGTCATCTACCAAATAGTGGACTTTGAAATGAACATCGCAACAGTTTTAAGATTACTAGGACTTACAAGAACTTTGATTTTCGTCAGAAAGGTGATAAAGAGAATCAGAAACAATAATATCGTATATTGCATCGTTTCTCTCCGATAGAACCGACAGAGCCCATTCTCGAGACCTATAAACAAAAACATTAACAAGTATGTAGATAAAACTGCTGTGACTTTATAAAATAGGCCGTCGCCAGTTTGTTATGACTATAAAATAAGAAGGCTGTATCCAATTCGTTATGATCTTATGTACGGCTTTTCATCACGTCATTTATCCGCCAATCGGAACACGACTTGTCTAATCTTAACACTACGCCAAATCAATGACGTTCGACTAGTATGAGCAGTCTAGTATCCTTATTGGTCCATTGTCCGTCTAGCCCTTCCAATTTAGTACAAAAACACCAATTGCAGCTATTCCTATGAGAATCTTTTATCTCAAGCATATTCGGTTTATATACCAGAAAAACAGACCGCATCAACCATAAAATAGAAAATAATATTTGTACACTGCGATGGGTAAAACCGTCTAGACTTTGATACTTTTATGTTGGTTTGTTCTCTGAGCTGGATGGTTTGGTCGTGGAGCTTTCTTCGTCCTTCTGAACGACATCATCAGCACAAACTTTGGGTAGAAGTGAAGTGTTTGAATTTCTCCACATGTGATTCACAGCTTGTCCTCTGCACCTCGATGTTGATTGGTTCTTATTGACCTTAAATCTGTCATTGTTTATTTCAAAACAAAGAAATAAACAATGACAGATTTAAGGTCAATAAGAACCAATCAACATCGAGGTGCAGAGGACAAGCTGTGAATCACATGTGGAGAAATTCAAACACTTCACTTCTACCCAAAGTTTGTGCTGATGATGTCGTTCAGAAGGACGAAGAAAGCTCCACGACCAAACCATCCAGCTCAGAGAACAAACATACATCAAAATCACCCACCTGAGCTACAAATCTTCGCCACCATCTCAAGACTTTGATACTATCAATTCACACAAACTGTGGAACTTTTGTTATTTAGCACCTAAAAATGAGATATTTAGTTCTTTTTCTCAAGTTATGATTTCAAACTTGTTTATAAATTTGGGTGGAAATTTCATGAATGAACCGTTATCAGAGGCCCGAATTCGTGTCACCAACTTATTAGTGACAAGTAAATGTCGTCTTGAAATGAATATAGATTCTCCCTGAATAACATCTTCAAACCCTAATCTTTCCGACTACTGCTTATAGTCTCACTACCTCTACCACTATGGGATTTGAATCGACTACTGAATCTCTGTGCTAATGTGGTATGGCAACTGATGTACGTACGTACGAAATTCTACGTTGCGACTGACTGATTGATATATACATTCACAGATTTCACTAGGCATGTTAAATGCTAGGAATAGTAGAACTTTTTAGGTACATATGTGACTGGGATGTATTCATCTCTTTCATAAAGATACTTATCTGTCTTTGTCGTACATTGATGTATTCACTCTTGAAACTCTAGACACATGATTCACCTATTCCTCACATAAACCATAACATGAACATACCAAAGCGATGAAATTTTGATAGCATTCATTAGTATGTACAAAAAGAAATATACTACCTACTTCGGATGAATAAGACCAGCAATTAATAATGATGTAGAAGTACTTTTATTCGGTGCATAATTGAACCAATCTTTGAAACAATCCAAGAAATCAGGTGTATTACTAGTTTGTTCAAGCCATTTCAAAGCTAAATACATCCAATTAGTAGGTTCTTTAAACGTTGAACCTTCTTGTAATAATCGTTGACAAATAATTAACCAAGTTGGTATATCACAAGTTAATGGATCAATTGGTGTTTTGAATAAATGGCATGGAATATGATTTGTTAACCAATTCACAGTCATATCAACAATTTCCTCAGTACTTGAAGTCGATGAGATTTGAATAATTGAATCCAATTGTTTCAATGCATCCAAATTATCTTTATTGTTTAAATTGACAGGATAATGACTTGTTAATTCATGATTTCTAAAACACAAATGACGATGTTCTAATAGATTACCTTGAATAAGATAAGGTGTAGCAATTATTGATTTCATTGTTTCAGGTAATATCAAATAACCATGTTCAAATACTTTTTGTTGTAATGAATAAATAATATCAGCTGAATTAGACTTGCCTAAGATAAGAAAAGTAAAAAAAACAACGGTATATTACATAATTGACATGTAATAAAGTATAGTTTGCAAAAAAAACATAATTCGACAAGACTTGTTAGATCTTTGAAATTTGGTTTCAAGCCAAACATAAGGAATCTGATGTTCAATACTATCACTCAGTCTCCAACCAGTGATAGCGGTTATTATGTGGACCACAACCAATTAATCTGCCCCCAAATGCCCTGGTACAACCGAGAGTTGTAACCTTTCGAAATGCTCTCACATGGCCAGCGAATATACCGTCTTTGCCACGGGAGTACTACTTACAGCCTTCTCGTGGCATTACTGTTGTTTACGAAAGTGAGAGGACGAAAAGCAAATGTCCGGTTGGTGGATGTGGAAGATACACCTAGGGGAGTTGGAAAACCCTGATTCCAAACCAATGGTGCACGTGGGCTCCAGGATCCTGATGGAACGAATGGCGTATGAACCAATCGTTGGTAACCGGCTACCATGAGAATGCATCTCCTCACGATGCTCCACTGCCTTGTGGATCAGACCTTTAGATCAAAGGCACGGGGTGTGGCCTACTAAGAAAACCATCTGCTTCAGTTTGGGCATCTGGGCAATATCACAGCCCTCACACAAATCAAATGAGATTTGTGAGGCGCATATTTATCTGGTGCTTCCTTGTACCAATATTTATGTGTTTAAATAAAAAAAATCTACCAATATGACTCAATACAACAATCAATTACATGATGGAGTTGTGCCTCCCCTAGCTTTATTTTAACCTACTCGTACACCAGCCCGTCAAGGGAGTCGGTGATTGGACACAAGTAGTACATGTCTCAACAACCTCAGTCGATAAAAATTTACCAAACCATCAATCGATTCGTCATCCACACCTGAAGCTCACCGTCTAACCTCATAATCGTCAATTCCACGATCTCAACTAACGAAGGTGATGTTGGAAGGCATCGATAATCGAATGTCGGTAAACTATGAGCATCCGCTTCCTTTAAGGGTCACGTTTGACGGCCAGAGTACTCGTCCTTTAATCGGTAGACGAATAACCAGGATAGTTTGGTAAAAACCAATCGAACGGAGCGAACTGCTGAGTAGTAAACTCGTCTTCTGGTTGCAAAACAGATACCTCATCTGCACCTCAAGGACACAATTTAAAAAGAACCAAACATACCTTCTGAATGTGTCTTAGCATTTCATCAAACAACAAACCACCGATGAGACTCCCATAATAAATGTAGCAGTCGATGATTTCAACTACTCTACTCCCTATCACTAATTCAGCCGATGACGCAAACCAATCCTGAAGTGACATTTTGCATTTGGACAGAGAGACAACCACATCCCAAGTATGCTTAAATTATTGCTTAAGGTGGCCAGAAAACTCTTGATATTATCAGCATCTTCGCCAAACAAAAATATATAATTTGTGTATTTTAAGTGAACAAGAGGATTTCCTAGTAGAATATCAACACAGACGATAAAAGTGTTATCTTTCAGAGCATGTGTATGGCGAAGTTAAATAAAAGTGGGTAAAGCGAACAACTCTGACGAACACACGAAGTTGATAATTCTGATGAGAGTCCTACATAAGCTCTGACTCAATTAGTGGTATATGAATGCATAAGAGTATTGTACTTCGTTGTTTCTTGCATTCGCTTAAGAGTAGTTATGGCTTATACTACAGATAAGTTTTGGTCCCCGAATGCCCTGGTAAGGCAGAGAGTGGGGAGAGTCCGCTCTCCATCTCCAAATGCTCTCGTATATAGCCTCTGCCAGGGAAGTCCTACTCACTGTCTTCTCTCAGCAAGGGTGTTGTTTACGAAATTGAGAGAACGAAAAGTGAATGTCCGGTGCTTTAACCGGGTTGGTGGGGAGTTGGAAAACCTTGATTCCAAACCAATGGTGCACATGGGCTCCAGTATCCTGAGGGAAAAAATGGCGCATGAATCAAAGTATCAGGACTTATCAATTAAGATTTTAAAAAATAATCAAACGATAAATAATAAATTAGTATTTTCACATACAGAAACTTGAAATAATCCAATGAAGACTTTTCGATCTTTTTGAATACTCATGTTCTTGTAAACGATGAAGTAATAACTGTAAAACATTAAAAAATATTTATCAATGAGGGCCATGGAGATGACTGAGGTTCATTGAAATTATGATTCTTTTTATTTATTCAGATAAACCATTAAACACACTTAGTATTGTTTGTTTGAATCTTCCATTGATGTTTTAGGATTGCAACTGGTCAGTCTCTAATTGGTATACGTACATACTGTGCGTATTGCCTCGATATAGCCTAAATTCACAAACATGGTAGGCAAAGATGGATACTGGCTAGCAGTGGAATCCAGTTTGACGTGCGTTTCGTCCTATTTGGGACTCGTCAGCCGGATGTACCTGCATCTCAGAGTTGATGTTCATTCTGGGAACTCGAACCCAGTACCTTACGCTTCAAACGCCATGGCGTTATCCAGAAGATTCCACTGCTAGATGACTAAACAGTTACTTACAATCAAAAATAATTAGTAGTAACAAATAAAAACATCCAAGACTAGTGATTTGTAAAAAATATAATATCAACAGGAAAATATACGAGTTGAGTAAACTCTAAAACATGTGAACCACTCAAATGGTAGCTGAATGGTATGAGGGTTATTAAATTTTCACAAGTCCTGAAGGTTGTATAGATCGAATACTTATTAAGTGTAGGCCACTTCTTCAGAGAATAAATAACCAAATTAACATTAATCCAAGTTTAAATAGTACAACGGAACAACGCGAATATTAGGTGCGATCAATAAAAAAACAGGTCTGAATAAATCAATGTCATGTCATTTCAGTTCGGTCAAAGTGATTCATAAGCGACAAGTATGTAAATTTGTGTGTGTATGTGTGCACTAATGATGATGAAAAATATGTAACCTTTATAATGACAAAGGATAGAGTTTAATTTGTAAGGTAATATCAGACTAAGTGACTAAGAAACATAGTCCAAGTAGGATGTACGGCAAGGCCTTCCTTTCTATTGAGAGCAGTAGGATTAAGCATTATATGGAATGCTTCAGCTACTCTCCTTTCTTTGTAATTGGAAAAGCCTTTTTCTAATATTTTGATATTTTTGAAATCAATTTAATGATTTTTTGAAAATGGCATGAACTGCTATTACCGATTTAATTTGAAGTCTACCCAGTTCTACAAGATTATTAGGAGGTTTCTTTGTGTACCTAATATATTCTTTGGTACGAGTCAAGATTTCGCGAGATGACTCTCCAATATAAAAGGCATTACAATCGACACAACCTAATTTGTAGACGCAGTTCTGTGTAGACATGAATGACATTTTTTCATTTATTCGAACTAAAGTATTTAGAAGTGTGTTCGTTGTTTTGTAATATACTTTAATTCTGTGTTGTCTTAAGATCCTTTGGAGTTCTTCAGTTGTGCCATGACGGTAAGGTAAAACTGCAGTACCAATCCACGGCATTTCATTCGAATAATTTTTATTGTTACCTACTGAACTGTCTTGTTTTGATATACTTCTAATAATCTTCATAGGAAAATAATTAAATTGTAAGAAACTTATTACATTCTTTTGTTCTTTTTGTTTATCTTCTTCTGAAATGATGATCTTGTTGACTCTTTTAAAAAGATTTAAGGCTAACGAGACCTTAGCACTGAAAGAATGTGCTGAATGGAAGTAAATAATACGATTAGTGTGGGCTTTCGGTAGATGGATAGATTTAAAACTCTATTTACATTTTTTTTTCACTAAGCAATCTAAGAAAGGTAGCTCACCATGTTCATTTTCATTCGTAAATTTGATGTGAGATGAAAGTGTATTTATCCGTTTTGAAAACAATTTTAGATGAAACTTTTATATAACTACAAATGTATCATCTATATATCTAAGCCAAATTCGTGGTTTAATGTCGTTGGTGAAAATATTTGATTATATGTGTGCAATAGAAAAGTCGGCCACACTCGAGGACATGGGGCATCCCATCGTTACACCATTAGTTTGTTTGTATAACATTCCGTTGAAAGTGAAGAGTCGAATTTAGGCAGAGTTTTAAGGATCACATAACTTTACCTGTAGCTCCTCCGGGGGCTACTGCCGGTCCCAAGCCCGGGTAAAGGAGGAGGGTTGGGCATGGGGTTCGCGCCCCCATCCCGTAGAAAACCAACTTAAAAAAACGCTAACCATTAATGATCTCATGATTAAACTGATGCTCGAAGGACATCTGTCAGAAAGAGTATTGTCATTCTCTAGTAAACCACTAATGAATTCTAAGCATTTATCAATAGGAATACTAGTGTATAAAGAGACGGCATCAAAGCTTACCATGACTTCATCCTTCTCGATAATTAATTCGATGATTTTGATTTATAGTAATATGTATCTTTAATCATATTATGCAAGTTAAGCTGTAATGGCTTTAATATGCTGCATAGATATTTCGATAAAGCGTATGTCGGTGTGTTGGTAAAGTCTACTATCGGTCTTAACAAATCAAAACTTGGTAAGGACATTGAGTGTCTTTCGTAGACAGTTGTTTATAAATACTTGTACATGTTTGATTATGTTTGTGGTAGTTCTCAAAGTTTCAGCTCCCTACAGTAGAACCGTCTTGACGTTGGCATCGAAAACAATGACTGTGATGATGGCTGACGGACAATTGTTTTGAGTTACATATGTCGATCAACTGTAGGAATGCGGCCCCTGCTTCGCCAAATCGTGCATAAATACTTGCATTAGATTCGCCTTGTTCATCAATGATGCTGACCGGCTACGTGAAAGTTTCCACCTCTTCCAGTGCTTCTCCATCAAGTGTGATTGTGTTGAAGTTCTCTGTGTTGTATTTGAGGATATTACAATTTCTCTTGTGTATGTTGAGGCCTGCTGATGTAAACGCTGCTGCTGCTACACTGGTAGTCTTCATCTGCATTTGTTGTTATGCATGGGATAGAAGGACCAAGTCTTGACTTTCTCCGCTCGTGTTCGACTGTTGTTAATTGCTGTCTTCTTCCTTTTTCTTTCTTCAATCTTGTCCAGGGTTCCTATAGAGATCCATTTCTTATTGTGATGCTTCCTGCGACCCAGAACCTCCAGTTACGTTGAAGTTAGTGCTTCTTTGATCTCTTTCCAGTTATTTCCCATAATAGTTTCTTCTTCTTTGAGTAGATCTTATGAGGATTGGAACCTGTTGCTGAGAGCTATCTTGAGTCGGTTGAGTTTCTCAGTATTTCGAAGTCTGTATTGGACTTTTGTAATGCTGTTTCTCCAATTGTCTGGTGCTTCTTTACCTCCGCTCTCACCTTCGAAATCACCAGATAGATGGTGATTTGAAGCTATGTCAGCCCCTCTCCTGGTTTTCACGTCTTTCATTGACCTTCTTGATATGTTAGTGGTGCAAATACGATCGATCTGGTTTCGTGTGGTGTGATCCGGTGAGATCCGTGTAACTTTGTGCATGCGTTTGTGGGGGAATATTGTGCCACCTATAACCAATTTGTTGAATGCACATATATTTGCGAATACGTTACAACTCTCGTTCGTTTCTCCCAGCTAGTCCGCTTCGTCCCCTTATGTCTTGATACTCGATGTTGTCTATTCCGACTTTGGCGTTTAGGTCTCTCATCAGGTAGGTCAGGTCCTTTCCTGAGCACTTCGGAATGATCGATTGCAGCCTATCGTAAAACAAATCATTATCTTCGTGGTTGCTATCATTGATTGATTCATAACATAGGATGAAACTCATTGTAATACCTTCCTTCTTTGTTTTGAATGATGCTTTGATGATTGTGGACCCATGAGATTCCCATCCAACATGCGTTTTTCGAGGTTCTTAGAATATACATTAGTCCAACTTCTCGTACAAGGAAGGTAATTTCTTTGTGTACTGTATAAAACGTGACCTCTCCCGAAACCAATCTTTTCTATTTAGCTTTCGTTCTATGGGTGCCAGTTATTTTGAGTACCGTTATGTTGTATCTCCTTATGTGCGCCACTATTCGAGTGGTACTCCCGGTCTACCACATTCCGTGGACATTCCACGTATCCATAATAATTGTAGCTTTGGTTGTATGAAGGGACATCGAACTTGTGACTTCCGAAGAATCTCAGTCTTCACCAGGAAGAAACTTCAACTTCCAGGACACAGCTAAAATATTTTTGAATAATTTTTGTACTTAGCGTTTTTTGACAAACTTATCTTCTACCATATGAATTTACCAACACCATGCTTAACTCACTTCCCTTATTCGGGATCGTGGCTGGTAGTGACAGTAAAACGCTTCAGGCAGGGTTAATGTATATAGTAGATGAACATTAATTGACATAAAAGTACAAAGATGACCATAAACTATCGACTCGCAGGATATATTTAAGGATGAAAAGGATAAATAAATCCAAGAGTATTCTGGATTGGTTAATGAAATATGTAGGTAGATAGATAGATAGATATAGATATCTCACTTCTGAAATCCATGAAGGTTCAACATGATCTTTAAGTACCGGATGCATAGGACGTAGGTCTTCCATTCCACGAATACATTGACAAGCAATTCCATCCGGAATAAATTTTGATCTCAAAACTAGGAAAAAAATCACGAAAAAAATCAATAATTATCTACTGAAACTATGTTGAATTAATAGCGTACGATTGATATGGTGAGTCAATCAGAAGCAGCCCCTAATGAGAAGGTCGACCGATGGCAATCAAAAGTGACTTAAATGACAAATGAATTTCGTCGGCTGAGAAATGGACCGATTTCCTAAGTATTTGAGTGATATATATATATATGATTAAGTAAAAATACATTTTATTCAGTAGACCAACACACTTTCTCGCCCACACTTTCGTTATTACTGACTAAAACGATCTTTAAGTACCGGATGCATAGGACGTAGGTCTTCCATTCCACGAATACATTGACAAGCAATTCCATCCGGAATAAATTTTGATCTCAAAACTAGGAAAAAAATCACGAAAAAAATCAATAATTATCTACTGAAACTATGTTGAATTAATAGCGTACGATTGATATGGTGAGTCAATCAGAAGCAGCCCCTAATGAGAAGGTCGACCGATGGCAATCAAAAGTGACTTAAATGACAAATGAATTTCGTCGGCTGAGAAATGGATCGATTTCCTAAGTATTTGAGTGATATATATATATATGATTAAGTAAAAATACATTTTATTCAGTAGACCAACACACTTTCTCGCCCACACTTTCGTTATTACTGACTAAAACGACTTTGGAATGCATGTTACATATGTTAGGCAACTGCATATATCCCGACGTAAGAAGGTAGCTCCCAAATGTCCTCGTACGGACGAGGGCATAGAGAGTCAGTTCTCCCCCTCCGAAAAATCTCACATGGCCACGCGTGTACAGCCGATTTCAGGGAAGTCGACTCAGTACCTTCTCGCGGGATTACCGTTGTTTACGAAATTAAGAAAATGGAAAGCGAAAGTTTGGCGTTCTAAGAGGATTGGTGTATATGTACGGTCCATCTAGGGGAGATGGAAAAACCTCATTCCAAACCATTGGTGTGCATTGGCTCCAAGATCCTTAAGAAACAAATGTTGTATGAATCTATTATTGGTCACCGGCTACGATAGAACTGCATCTCCTACCGATGCTCCATTGTCGTGTAGAACAGGCCTGTAAATCAACGACTCGCGAACTCGCCCCCTAAGGAAGCCATCTGCTTCGGCCTGGGCGCACGATCAGTATTCCAGCCCTAACACAAATCGAATGATTTGCGTGTTGCACATGCAGTTCGTCCCTACTTGTACCATTGTTTATGTTTTTCAATAAACAAATAAGGACGTTACTCAAGAGACTGAGGTTCACCTAAAAATATAACTTCTAAATCAGAATTAGTATCGTCATATATTATTTCTTATGTTTAGTCGTGTGCAGTTACGGACTGCCCACACCGTGGACGGGTATTACTTGAGTAACCTGAAAAGGAAGTTGGATTAGTGTTGGTCTTAACGACCTGGGAACGTGGTCGCAGTGCCCTAGGGACAACTGCTTGAGGCCGGTCACGCACGGCCTTTTTGTGGGTAGTTTTTGTGTTAGCTCCGTTCTTCAAAGGACCTTACCGCCGGAGACGGAAATCCGTGGGATAATGCGAGGTGTGTATTTTTAGGGTCGACTTTTTCTAACCCCACCCCTCCTTGTGGGAAGGCAAAAAATGATAAAGGCTTTGACCTCTGGTATGAAATATGATAATACAATAATATTAGACTAGGCATGATACTAAAATTTTGCATACTAGATTACGATGTTAGATTTTGTTCTATTTTGTCTCATACATGTAGGGCTTCAGTTGTAAATATTCATTTGTACAACCCACTTAAAGGATTTCTATTCGTTTGAAGTCCGTTGTATGTCCGAATTTTGATGAATGTAGTGTTATTACCGACTCGTTTCCTAGTTTTTTTAGATCTTATAGGGATTTAAAGAAAAACTTCAAGCGAAATTTGTGTTTCTTCACCTTGACGTTCTACTGTCATGTCTCACCTACGTTACAGTCCTTACATTTGATCTTAACGACACAGTTCTGATGTTCTTTTCTTGGCACTATGTCTTTCATTTTTACTGGTTTGAAACTAAAAAATCTTTCGTTCAAAAATACTCTCATGTTTTGATGGTTCAGGATCCTGATTTCAACTAGAACCCCTTTGTGATATTAGATCACCACCGTGTTAAGCAATTCTTTCAGTTTATCTATCTTCTTAACGTTTCTTAATTAATCTTTTTACTTTTCATCATTAAAGAGGTCATAGTACTAAGAGTTAAAACATCAACTATCTCGAGTAGAGAGATTTCTAATACAATCCTATTCTCTTGTGTCAATCAATCAATGTCCACGTAACAGACTATTCAGTGAGCGAATAGGATAGTTCTCTACTCTGTAGATCGAGTAGTCACAAGCTGAACTTACGCATTTGCCATTTTAAGGTTATTTTAAGTAGCTTGATAATTTATTTATTCATTTAAACACATAAATATTGGTACAAAGGAGCACCACAAATATATGCGCCAAACAAATCTCATTTGATTTGTGTGAGGGCTGTAATACTACCCGGATGCACAAATCGAAACAGGTGGTTTCATAAGGGGGCCACATTCCGAGCCTTTGACCTGAAGGTCTGATCCACAAGGCAGTGAAGCATTGTGAGGAGATGCAGTCTCATGGTAGCCGGTGACCAACGATTGATTCATATGCCATTTGTTCCCTCAAGATACTGAAGCCCATGTGCACCATTGGTTTGGAATCAGGGTTTTCCAACTCCCCTAGGTGGACTTTTCGTGTCCACCGGCCCGGTTACAGCGACGAACATTCGCTTTTCGTCCTCTCAATTTCGTAAACAACAGTAATGCCACGAGAAGGCAGTGAGTAGGACTTCCTTGGTAGAGACTGTATACGCGTGGCCATGTGAGAGAATTTCGAGATGGAGAGCGGACCCTCCCCATTCTCAGCCGTGTCAGGACATTTGAGGGCTCGATAATTTAAGGACATTAGATGGTCTCGAGATAAATTCTCCTGTACACCAAACTACATGACATGAGGTCAAACCAGGGACATAACAGATATATTCAATCTGTTACCCACACCCGGATCACCCCAAATGGAAGCCATATAATATAAGCTCTTACCATCCAATCCTCTTTTATTTCTATTTGTCTCTCCATGTTCTCAATCCATATAATTTTATTATCATTATTATTGTTACTCTGAAATTTCACTTACTACACGTCATAATCATCCGACTTTATTCTTATTATTATTGCTACTATTATCTTTATTAACCCCATGATTTATTTTACTATATCAATTGTAAATCGGTCCCTTCTTTTTGGAGGAGTTTCGTCCTCTGAGCTGAATGGTTTAGTCACGAGGCTTTCATTGTTCTTTTGAACAACGTCATCAGCGAAAACTTCAGGTAGAAGTGAGATATTCGAATTTATGCATATGACATACAGCTTATCCTGTTGACCTTGATCCCGATCGCTTATTATTGATCTTAATCTTGTCATTGTCTGTGTATTCATTCTCATTGTCTCCTATGTTGACTTAATTCTCAACCTTACATTTGTCCACTATGTTTTCTAATTGATTGGTAAATTGGGTCAATTTTGGTGTGATTACTGAATGTTAGTCGACCATGTATCCCGAGTTCCTATAACTTCAACGTTTTTCTTTTTATTATGACTAACCAAAATCTTGGAATTTTCCCATTCAAAAGTTTGTTAACGATTTTCCACTTACATTGGTATAAGCGAAATTAAATCAGAGTTTGACAGCTAGTTGGTGTTCGTGCAGACGAAGACGAAGAAAGAACCTAGCAAAATCGTATACCTGAGCTAAGTGATCTCAAAATCATATGAGCGTGACACATTTTCTCTTTCTTTGTTAAATAATTTTACAACTCTACCAAAGGACACATTTCAGGCATGCTCAAGTAGTAGCCGATGCGAAAATTCACTATTCTGAATGTTCTATGACGGCGTTTAAACAACTGAAATTGTATGCTGCCACCCAGCATTCACTATCGTAAAAGCCGATCAACCTATGAATTTATAGATGATTCGTTGTCCAACTCAAGGAAGCCTCAAGAAGCCCAAAAAGAGCTGAAGACATTCCATCTAATCACAGCTAGAAGAACATTCTAGGATGTCGACGTGTAGCTTCCCTATTGGATGAATAAGAAGGATCCCCTATGTGCCTATTGGCTGACCGAAATGATGATTTACTTCCAGCCAAGAACTATAAATACATAAGATTTTTGTACTATATTTAACACTGTTTTGGGAATAACATTCCTACTTACTAGTCTGCTCTCTTCTCTTTTGCGACGTTGTGGGTTCGATCGTTCAAGAAGTCTACTAGTACGCGGCACAGCAAGAATCTAAGGCTCTAAATATAACAATAAATAAACTAAGCTCTTTCAAAATTTGAATAGTAGTACCAGGGAAGTCCTACTCACTTCTAGTGGCGGGGATGTTGTTCACGAAAGTGAGAGGACGAAAAGCGAATGTCTGGCGCTTTAACCGGGTTGGTGGACACGAAAAGTCCACCTAGGGGAGTAGGAAAACCCTGATTCCAAACCAATGGTGCACATGGGTTCCAGAATCATGACGGAACAAATGGCATATGAATCAATCGTTGGTCACTGGCTACCATGGGATTGCATCTCCTTAAGTTGCTTCACTGCCTTGTGGATCAGACCTTCAGGTCAATGTGGCCCCCTAATGAAACCACCTGCTTCGGTTTGGGCACCCGGCAGTATCTCAGTACTCACACAAAATGTGTGGCGCATATGTATCTGGTGCTCCTTTGTACCAATATTTATGTGTTTAAATAAATAAATAAACCAGGAATATAATTTTAAAAATGTGCTGTTAAAATGAGCGTGAACAGACATATAAAAAGGACCACTTACCAGACTCTAGAAAATCCCAATTCTCTTGAACATGTTCAGTTAATAATGCTTTAACCGTATTTCGGTTGAGGAAAAGATGTGCATTTTCGGGTAAATCAGATGCAATACGATAAAAGAATTTTTTGAAACCATCATAATCTTTTCTGTAAGTAAATTAAAGTAGAACAGCGTTTTCAATGCGTAATAAAGGCTATAAACAACTGACCAAAATCATGTTGCACAGTAATCAACTCGATTAGGAGATAGTGTTTTATGGAAGAGATACGGATACTATTTAGTTGTCAAGATCCAACAAGGTTAAGTGGATGTTACAGATCCAGCACAATGGTTGAAAGTTGAGTAGTTCGATCAATGTGTCAGTGCTTTACTACATTATCGAAATAACCTGTATGATATCGGAGAAGTAATAAAATGGCAGTTGTACACTTTGGACTAGACAAATGGAGACTCATCATTCATTTTTTTATTTGTATGAGAAACCGCTGGTGTTGACAACCATTAAAAATTCCTTAATTATAGTAAAAGAAAATTTACGACCATAATTCGATTTTACAAGATATTAATTACTTAGAGCCCCCAAATGCCCTGGTACGGTCAAGAGTGGGGCGAGTTCGCTCTCCCTCTCCAAATGCTCTCACATGACCACGCGTATATAGCCTCTACTAGGGAAATCCTACTTATTACTTTCTCACGGTAAAGGTGTTGTTTACGAAATTGCGAAGACGAAAAACGAATGTCCAGCGCTTCAACGAGCTTGGTGAACACGGGAGATCCGCTTTGGACAGTTAGAAAACCCTGATTCCAGACCAACGGTTCACATGGGCTCCAGTATCATGACGGAACAAATGGAATATGAATCAATCGTTGGTCACCATCTACCATGAGACTGCATCTCTTCACCATGCTCTACTGCCTTGTGGATCAGACCTTTAGGTCAAAGGCTCCGGGTGTGGCCCCCTAATAAAACCACCTGCTTCAGTTTGGGCAACTGTGCAGTATCACAGCACTCACACAAATCGAATGAGTTTTGTGTGGTGCATATGTATATGGTGCCTCCTTGTACCAATATTTAAGTGTTCAAATAAATATATAAATAATAATTACTTAGAAATAGCATCTCTAACTCTACAGATGACCAACGCTGTTAAAATACCTACACCTTCATGAATTATCTTGAATTCGTAAACAAGCTACTAGGATGAAAGCTAAGAGTATAAAGTGGGTTTTTTTATGAGCAATAATTACAAAATAAATAAGAAAACCCAAAGAGAAATATACTTATTCAGACTGAAAGCATTGCTATTTCATGTTTAAAAATCAAAGTAACATACGTTAATAGGAACAGACCAATAAGCGCTTTGATTGAGCGAGGTATATCGCTAAGCGAATTTTTTTTAACGACATTCCAGAAAATATGTTCAATATCATCAACACGAAATAATCGTTTAAGATACAGATTTTCACGAAATAAAGCACAGGCGTGTAGAACAGGATCGGAAACATTATGAATCGATAATAAAGGTTCAAGATCAGATAGACTCCTAGGCGAACAAGTAGTACCTAAAATTGGAAGTCAAATATGAAGAAAACACCTTTAAAAAATGTGGTTCTTTTTCACGCCAAAATCATTTGTATTGGACTCGAAATTCAAAAAAGCGATCTCAATCAAGTGAATATTAAAATTAATCAGCTTGAACAAAACTGATAGTAACGATTAAATAGCATTTAAGCCGAGATTATATTAATTCGAATGGAGGAAAACATTCTTTAACAGTCGGTTGACAGAAAATTTAGCTGAAACCAAGTAATTAACAGATGATTGTAAGTTACTTCACCTTAAATTAACGTCAGTAGATCATATGAAACGTCAAAATTGGCACATATGTACATCGGTTTACATTTCTAAACTACATTACCATAGTGAGATAAAATTATCAGTGAAAATACTACAGTAATAGTAGGGACAGTAACAGGACAGAAAAAGACTAATTATAATGAGAAGAAAGTATAAGATTCCGGGACTTAAGGAGATTGATTATGAATACAGTGGTCTTGAGTGCAGTTAGAGGTATGAGGGCAGTTATCACTTCCCGGTTGCCCACACCGTGGAAGGGTTCTTCTAGAGGTACATGAAAAGGAAATTGGGTTAGAAGTGGTCTTAATCACCTGAGAGCGTGACCGCAGTGCACAAGTAACAATTGCTTGAGGTTGGTCACACACGACCTTTTTGTGGGTAGCTTTTGTGTTAGCTCCGTACTTGTTGGGACCTTACTGCCTGAGACGGATATCCGTGGGATAAGGCGAGGTGTGCATTTTTAGGGCCGACCTTTTCTAACCCCACCCCTCATTGTGGGAAGGCAGCATCGCTGTCATGCTGGTTGTCTGAAAGAAACACCTTACTGCTGTCACACCTCTGTACAGTCAGCAGTACGACTTCGACTTCGGACCTTTGGTTTGCTGCTTTTATTCTTACCGCTCTTCAACCGACCTGTCTGGTATGGTAGGACATTGGGGAACGATTGTTTCTGCCAGTATAGCTCGATTGGTTCATCACGATAGACAAGCCCGACCACCACGTCAAGGTATCAGCAACGGTCAGGCCGGGACTCAGGACTTAAGTGGAGACAAAGAGCAAATACATTCGGATTATTATAAAATTTCCGAACTACAAGTATAAATAGAACTCCACTTGTAGCCGCTCCGGGAGCTACTGCTGGTCCCAAGCCCGGATAAAGGAGGAGGGTTGGGCATTCGCTTAGCGACCACATCCCATAGAAAACTAACTCGCTAAAAAGAGGCTAACCAGGAAAATATAATTCAAACCATTTAAACTCTGCCATGGGAGTTGAAGGAAAAATTATTAGCTTAAAGCTTCCAGATGATTTCATGTAACCTCTAAACATAAGAAATAATATATGACGATACTAATTCTGATTTACGAGTTGTATTTGTAGATTTACATTAAAACAAATGTAGGTTTTCAGCAGCAATAATAAAACTAAGTTTACACAGTGGAATTGAAATTTGTTACCAAATACAATTACATAGAATATGACCGCTTAAAGATATACTCACCTTCTAGGTTCTTCATTTCGTTTGCAAAATTTCCAGATTGTTGTGGAACGTTTCGTTCAAAATCTATGGACAAAACATTTTATAATCAAAGAAAATACTAGAAGGTTGTGTCGAATAAACATAAGAACTGTTTATTTAGAAAGTCTGCAGAGTGTTGACTAGGTAGTTTTGGATAGAGACAGAGATGGGTACTCAAACAGTAGTTTAGACATTTTGTCCGAAATAAGCAAAGATGGATGGTGGCTAGCGGTGAAATCTAAGATAAGAGTTTCATTCTATTTTGCACTCGTCAGTCAGATGTACTTGCATCCCAGAGTTGATATTGATTCCGAAACTTGAACCCAATACCGTTCGCTTCAAACGTCATCACGTTATCCGCTTAGCTAATGAATCCTGATAAACACTAGTACGTGCAATGGGGTAACTGGTCAATTGCAGTTCTACACATCAATGGGAAGATTCAAACAAACAATTTAAAATGAATTTTGTTTGAAACTTTACTAGTCCATCCACCTACACATTTTCTGCACCAATGCTTTCGTCTAGACTATGAATTATGTAGGAAATAAACAAAAATGAGGTGAATCGATTCATACTACTTCTTATTTTAGAGTAGTAGCAATATTATTACCACTATGTATAGGAAGATGAGGTTTCGAGATAACATAACGAAAAGTAGCGAAAAGCATTCACTTAAATACACATGATGTTACTGATGAATAAGAAAGCAATAATTTTTATTTCTTACAATTAACATACAAGATTTACTTTTATTGACGAGCGTTTGAAGGTGTGACTCATCACGAGCTGAAATTTTCCAGAATGGTTCCAGATCTTCTTCACTCTGTGAAACAAGTATTTATTATCATCAAAGTTAGGCTTGATAATTTTAAGCCAATTAAGAATTGGATGAAGTGTTAATCGTAAAATACCCTGTTTCTAACCTCACTATTACTTACTCGGTGATCCCAGCAGATGCGAGCAATATTTCTAAGACATCTGTGGTCAAATACTAGTAACTTACGAGTATCTTCTAATCTTAATGGCCATGTTTCACAACCGTAAAGTAGAACAGAGCGAACTGCTGCGTAGTATATTCGTCACTTAATTGATAGACGGATATCTCGTTTTCGCCATAGGTGATGTAAGTTGGGAAAAGCCAAACGAGGAAATACAATGAGGAAAATTAACTATGTACATTAACAAACGAAATGCATACAAAGGGCATAAAACTAATGGGTTTTCAATGAAAATACTTTTAGCGTATTCTAAACGAGAAACATCTCTGCAAGGATTGTATGGGGATTACTGATATTATCATGAACGAACACCAGCGTTTAAGATTAGCAATTTGTATGTCATAACATTCAACGGGATCAAAGTTACTCTCCAATTCGTAATAAGCAAAACGCTCAATAAATCTAGACTATAAGATATGACAATAGTGATGTTACACAATTTTTTCTGTATATTACATAAACATTCATCTAAGTAATGCAGTTTTTAGGAAACGGGTACTAGGTAAGGATGGCAAATCGATCGATGAAATAGTGAAACTTCATCAGTTAAGGTGGCTGAGACACATGTTACGTATGTCCAACCACCGACTGCCCCGACATGCAATGTTTTATGGTGTAGGATTAGGTTGGAAGATAGCTAGGGGCGGTCAGACCAAAACGTGGCACAAATCCATGAAGTCACTAACAAGTGAACGGAACTATGTTGGTAGGTGTAGACTACCCGGTTGGGACTCGCGAAATGATAGCAATCGATGGTTAGAGATCTTGAATGACAAGGCTCAAAATCGTTTGCAATGGTGAAGGTGCATCCACTCTTTGTGTTCTACCAAATTCTAATCTTCTGAATTCTTCATGTCTCTATCTTTTTTCTCTTTCCAAATTTATTTCATTGAATTATACTCCTTCAATAACATCTTAAAACCCTAATCTTTCACATAATGCTTAAACTCTTACTACTCCTACTACTATGGGATTTGAATCGACAACTGCTTCTCTGTGCTAATGTGGTATGGCAACTCGAACTGATGCACATACGTACGAAGTTCTACGTTGTAACTGACTGACTGACTGAAATAAAACTGAACCTGAAAAACTGTGGACAAGTACATAATATATGACCAACATTTCAGCAACATATTCACACTATCTACAACAAAATTTACGATGAGAATATAAAGAGTAATAATAATAATAATAATAATAATAATAATAATAATAATAATAATAATACGTGGACAACTAACCAAACCGCCATGAACAGCAAAACGAAGTAATGAAATCAAATAAGCGTTATCTATATTCTTTAAATCCATCATCTTGAAAACCTCTAGAGCAGCTGCAAGACGCCCATGTGCTAGAAGAATTCTGACTGCATCCAATGCAAAAGTGTTTGAACTAAGCGAAAAAGGCATTTTTGTCAATATCTATGGAGAACAAAAAAAAGTAGTACGATGATGTTCAACGGTTCTAAATTAGAATATAAAAGAAACTTGGAAAAAATATTCAATAATTTTGATTTGTAACTAGACTGCTTTTTGTAGACAGCTAATTTTTCTATCCAAACAAGTTATTATTATTATTATATTAGTTAACCGGTTAAGTGAATCCTCAGTTGACGTTGAGTGCCGAAAATTAAATGTTAGAAAAATGTATAGATAGTTTGGAGATTACTTAGATGAACTTGTATTCTACTTGAAATTAAAAGCAAAAATAGAAAGAAACTGAGTTACTGACAATGTAATTGACATTAGCAGATATCTTCTTGACCGGAGTATAGAAACATATCTCTCGTATCTAGCCTTTGCTGTCCAACTTGGGTCCAATGGGTTTCGCTGATTCCGAGTACTGTCAATTTGTATCTCCTCATTTTTGTTGCTATTCGACTGGTCTTCTCAGTCTCCCACATTGTCTGGACATTCCATGTACCTATATTAATTGTTGCTCTGGTTGTGAAAAGGAGTATTAACCTCGTGACTTCCGAAGAATCTCGGCTTTCATCCTGAGGCGTCATAATTCTTCTGAATGAAGATCATTCAACACCCAGTGAGTAGTTTAAATGGTTGAGATTGTTCATTCTGACTAGCGTTCTTTAGTAGTGTTTTTTTTCTGTGGAATGGGGTTGCGGACCTCATACCCAATCCTCCTTTACTCGAGCTGGGAACCGGCATTAAGTCTAGAAGAGCTACATGAGGAGTTATATTTAATAGTTTTATACAAAACACTTCGTTGATTCTTGTGAAACAAACTCGTTAGATTGAGATTATCATCAGATAAGAAATCTTGTTTTATCGTAACTTTCAGAAAGAACGTGTTTTTTAATTTAGGTTTGACGAAATAAGGTGAACGAAAAAAGAATGTTGGTGAAATTACCAACAATATAGTGGAAAATACATTAGATTACGGTCAACAAAAATAACAAACAATTTTTATAACCAACATAAAAAGTATCGTACTTCGCAACATGTTGCACTGGGGTCTTTTTGTGAACAAACGAGCTTCACGTAAATATCAAAGATAAATGACGGAGGAAATACATCAGAATTTATTTGTTTAGTTTCGACTGTTTTTACTGGCTGAAGAACAATGAGGGCTTCATCGAGAGTTTTCATCAAATTACTTTTGTCCCCAAGATCGGCATAAGCAGATAAGATACCTTCATACCCGATTCTCGATGGCCATAAACCGATAACTGACAACTTTTCTTGTAAAGAAACTAACCTGTTGAGCAACCTACAAAACAGGTGTACAATTGTAAGATACATAAAAGACGATGAATGATTGTTGGCAAAATATTTGTATGTTCACCGCTCTGTTGCAGAAATTATTAGGTATATACTTCATATGCATATCCTAAATTTAAGTAAAGTCTAGCCCGACCGTTGCTCCTTTTCACAACCAGAGTAACAATTAATATAGGTACATGAAATGTCGAGTCGAATAGTAACAGAAATGAGAAGATACAAATTGACAGTACTCGGAATCAGCGAAACACATTGGACCCAAGTTGGACAGCAAAGGCTAGATACGGGAGAGATGCTTCTATACTCCGGTCAAGAAGAGGAAAATACTCCACACACTCAGAGAGTTGCTCTGATGCTGTCGAAAGAAGAACTCATAGGATGGGAATCTCATGGATCCACAATCATCAAAGCAACATTCAAAACAAAGGAGGGTATTACAATGAGTGTCATCCTATGTTATGAACTAACCAATGACACCGGTCTTTACCTCGAACAAATCTGTCAACTGTCCTCCATGCATGATTTTGCACTACGATCCATAATAGGAATTCCGTATGATATTGACTATCTTCTCAGGCATGCCGTAGTGTCAAAGAAGCCTCCATAGTGTTGTCCTGTTCACGCTATCAAATGCCTTCTCGTAGTCAATGAAGTTGATGTAGAGTGATGAATTCCATTCGATTGATTGTTCCACAATGATACGTTGAGTTGCGATTTGGTCTGTACACGACCGATCCTTACGAAATCCAGCTTGTTGATCTCGAAGTTGGGTGTATACGAAGTTCCTGATTCTGTTTAACAATACCCTGTTGAAGACTTTTCCTGGTATTGAGAGAAGAGTGATGCCCCTGTAGTTATCGCATTTGCTAAGATCGCCTTTCTTTGGTGGGTTGATCGGAAGTCTTTCTTTCCAGTCTGTTGGTACTTGTTCATCATCCTGGATCTTGCTGAAGAGAATGTGGAGTATCTTTGCAGTTGTTACTATATCTGCTTTCAGTGCCTCTGTCGGGATGTTGTCTGGTCCCGCTGCTTTGCCGCTCTTGATTTGTCTAATGGCCATGCTGATCTCTTCAATTGTTGGTGGGCCAACATCGATTGGGAGGTCCGTGGGTGCTGCTTCGATGTTGAGTGGGTTCAGTGGAGCTGGTCGATTCAAGAGTTCTTTGAAGTGTTCTACCAACCTGTCTCGTTGTTTTCCTATGTTGGTGATTACCTTGCCTTCCTTGCTTCTCACTGGTCGTTCTGGTTTACGGTAATTTTCAGCAAGTTATTTTGTTGTATCAAACAGTTGTCTGATGTTTCCTTCTCTTGCAGCCTTTTCCGCTGTCACTGCTAAATCCTCCACATATTTACGTTTTACACAGTGGTAGAAGTAGTGAGAGTATCAGCATTATGTGAAGGATTAGGGTTTGAAGATATTATCGAAGGAGTATAATCCAATGAAATAAATTTGGAGAGAGGAATTGAGAGGACGAAAAGCGAATGTCCGGTGCTTTAACCGGGTTGGTGGACACGGAAGGTCCACCTAGGGGGGTTGGGAAACCCTGATTCTAAACCAATGGTCCACTTGGGCTCCAGTATCTTGAAGGAAAAAATGGTGTACGAGCCAATTATTGGTCACCGTCTACCATGGGAATGCATCTCCTTACGATGCTCCACTGTCTCGTGAATCAGACCCTTCCCGACCGTTGCTGCTACCTTGACGTGGTGGTCGGGCTTGTCTATCGTGATGAACCAATCGAGCTATACTGGCAGAAACAATCGTTCCCCAATGTCCTACCATACCAGACAGGTCGGTTGAAGAGCGGTAAAAATAAAAGCAGCAAACCAAAGGTCCGAAGGCGAAGTCGTACTGCTGACTGTACAGAGGTGTGACAGCAGTAAGGTGTTTCTTTCAGACAACCAGCATGACAGCGATGCTGCCTTCCCACAATGAGGGGTGGGGTTAGAAAAGGTCGGCCCTAAAAATGCACACCTCGCCTTATCCCACGGATATCCGTCTCAGGCAGTAAGGTCCCAACAAGTACGGAGCTAACACAAAAGCTACCCACAAAAAGGTCGTGTGTGACCAACCTCAAGCAATTGTTACTTGTGCACTGCGGTCACGCTCTCAGGTGATTAAGACCACTTCTAACCCAATTTCCTTTTCATGTACCTCTAGAAGAACCCTTCCACGGTGTGGGCCCTCATACCTCTAACAGCACTTAAGACCTTAGACCCTTAGGTCAAAGGCTCCGGGTGTGGCCCCTCCCTAAGAAAACCACCTGCTTCGGTCTGGACACCCGGGCAGTACCACAGCCCTCACACAATTAAATAAATTGACAATTTATTTGTGAGCAGCATATATATTTAATGCCCCCTTGTACCAATATTTATGTTCAAATAAATAAATAATAATAAGGTAGTCAAACGACTCGGCAATATCAACGTCTTCAAACAGACCTATATTATCTACACATTCCAAGTGAACAAGAAAAGTTTTTGGTAGACCAACTCCTCATAATTACCGATAAAAGTGTTATCCCTCAAAGCATGTCTGACGAAGCTAAATAAAAATGAGGGGAGCGAACATGCCTGACCAACACCACACAAGTTGGTGATTCTGATGAGATTTCGCTACAATCCCTGACTCAAAGCGTTCGAGTGGAGATCCTGTACAAGGTTAATTTACTTTTGTGGTATGCCTTTGGACGGCAGACGCATTCAACAAAGTCAAACGCCACCTTAATGACAAGGAATACAACTAGAATGGGGTGTCGGAAAGCATATATATTTCAGAACCTGCCAAAAAGTACATATTTGATCCGTACATCCACGTTTTTATTTCACTAATCTATATTTTCTTGGGTTGTATCTCCGATGCTTAATCTTTTCTTTTTACCATTGATACCGTTAGTACTCTATTATTCTGTGACTTGGACTGATAATTCCATCTTTGTGCTAATGAGTTATGGCAAATTGAACTGGTGTACACACGAACTAGGCTCCACGTTGTGACTGACTGATTTTAACTCCATAGAGTTTTGTGGGAGTATAAATGTAGAAGTAACAACGGTAAACATAAAGAATGATGTCCGACGGCCTGAGATTCCGACACTTTCTAGCTAGTAGGCAGGAAAAATAAAAGAACGATTCCCTACTTCAGATGGTTTAGCAAGCAAACATATGCCGACTATAGCCTTTGTGTAGCCTCTAATACAGATACGATTATGTCCTGTCAAAGGACGGGTTACGAAAACGTAAAATTTATACTAGGGAAAAGTGCTAACAAAAAATTTTTGAAAAAATACCAGAAGCTACTTATCAACTACTCGTGATTAGAAGAGCCAAAATTGTAATTATTTACAGAAAAACGAGCTTACTTGAAAATACTGTGAAACTCACCCAGCTTTAACGTAACCATGAAGAAAATGGGAAAACGTATGAGAGCTAGGAATGAACCTAGACTCCCTTAGCGATCGCAAGTGTGATCTGGGGCATGAATGAAAGATATTTGTCTTACTTTGCCTGCTTAATATCTCCAGCAACACAACTTTGACGAATGAAAGCTCCGAAAACGCGCTGTTAGGTAAGAAGGAGAGCAATAAAATATACCTCGCTAGGACTCATGTTCGCCTTCTCAAGACAAGCCAAAACATTGTTCGCACTAAAGATCATTCCTAAATTGATTCTCACTTCTAAGTATTTTTCTACTAAAGCAATATCACCAACTAAAAACATTAAAACTGTGAAAACGTCCTACTTTCAAGGATCTCATCCCAGATACTGAGTACTGCTGGTTCGAATTCTTCTAATTTAATAGCAACTGCTTCTACCTTGTAATTTTGCAAGAAATATTTGATTTCAGAAACATTTGATGGATATTTGGTAGGGCTACGACATCTTTCGGGATCACATCCAGATACTAAATCTGACAGTAACCTTTGATAACTTCATCATTAACCAAATAACCGTTCACAATACCTGGGCGAAATTCCGCAACTCGGCAATTGCAGTCTTATTACGGAACGTAAGTGTCTCACTAATGTTATCCCACTACGCAGCATTTTACATGTGAACACAAAGTGAGCAACGCTTCAGTGGAATCGTCCGCTGAAGGAGGCTACTGAACACTTGAAGGTCAAACGGTCGTGAAACGATTGATGAGTCACCTCGATAATTCGTAAGAATTGGCAGGAGCGGTCAAGTCAAGACTGTTTAATTACAGCCTTTGATTCCAGTCGGGGTGGTCAAGAATTTAAGCCATGGGTTTTCACACGTCGAAGATTTTGGATGTCGTTACTTATCAGCTATTAACAGCACTTTTTCCGTCACACATCAATTTTCGTAATATTTGTGCTTGTTACATAGCGTTTATAGCAGTTTATTAGTGACCCAACGTATTTAAAAATTGAGCAAAACTTAACTGGTTCATCATTACTAATGGTACGGGAAAAGCAAAATTTGATGCAAAGAAATCAGTTTACAAGTTGGATATATAGTTAAGTCAAGAATATTACTACAAAGAACTTACTTTAAAAGACAGTTCCTGTTACGTTTCCACGTCTAGGGTAGTGAAATTGCGTTATTATGGAAGATATGTGTGTTATATATCTTCCATCGACTGCAATGTCTAAGAATATGATGAACTATACCGTTTATATTGCGTAATTGATCGAGTTTACCAGTAAGAGTTCATCTTCTTATGCATGCCAGTAACATGACGGCAAGGACACCGGCATGTCGCAATTCATACACGACCAAAGGTACAGCTACTCGCAATTCTTGCTGCTTCCAGACAAACAGGACAGGACGCCATCGACCAAAATTTACCCAAACCGAACAAAGTTTCTCCGAAATTGAGATGGAGAAGTTACAAAGCAACAATAGGTCCAATTTGTGCGCTACAAGATATAGTAGGCTAAATCAATGTTCTTCTCAATGATTTTGTGGTTTATCATCATATACGGTGTTATCCGCTCTGACTGAAGGCACTCGGTCATGCATCCCTACCAGATAACGTTTCAGACCCACAGACCCTTACTGATTGTAAAAGAAGTCATCGGCTCTTCAAACTGACTACAAATTGATCAGTAGCTTCGCACAACGAAGTCACAACTTGCCTTCAAGGTTATACTTCTGCACTTAAAATTGGTCTGTTAAATATAGATATAACTAGAATTTGACACTTACGAACAGTTGTTAACGACACTTACTGAATTTCTACTCCAAACCGATGGCAGTACAAACACCGTTATCGATTGATAATACACGTATCGTGCTATCACTGTGACATCACTACTCTTGCGACGAACTTAACGTCTCTCATCTGAAGAACTCAATCACTTGTCAAAACTATCCATTCCAACGTGACTTGATAGAACTTTAAAATGTAATGTTTTTTCTATTATTTCTGTGATTGATCGCCTAACATTCAACCAACGTCCTATTTACGTGTTATTACTCGTTGTTTCCCGATCAGTTTCTGCCGCCTCCTTTCCATTTGTCTTACAACTCGACAATATCCGGAGGATTCACAGTGATCGTCTGGCAACCTCCGCCGCGCGACTATTTCCAAAATGTTTGGTACCGATTCAAATGGCCGTAGAGTCTGATTCAAGCAAAAATATCAGCTCATTAAATCCATATAAAAGCATAAAAGTCACTCCTGACCTAACGCCGTGTCAACGTCGTATAAGAAGATGGAAAGCAATAGAATCGTGTGATAGAGTTATAGTAAAAAAACAGCTAAAGACAGTATGCAACACAGTGAATGGTATAAAGCGCATGGACAACAAGCATGATGTCATACCACAAACGGCAGATCCATTCTCAGATCTAGATGAGTCTGCAGATCAGAAATCTTTGGATAAGATACGGTCCCCGAATTTCACCGAAAAGCGTAACGGCATCTCTGATCCCAGCTGTTTGCTCAGCAAAGTACCAAAATGTGAGCCGTGTAACGAAACACATCCAACTAAACATATTCATTTAAAAATTGATCCCCCAAAAGATACTCTACAAGACGAACCGAATGCACCTAAGTTAATCTCACAGAGTCAACGAAGCCCTTCAGCTCTGACAAAAAAAATTGAGTAGACAAAATCCACAATACGGAATAGGAAACACGTAAGATGGAGACCAGCTGTTCTGTGGGTATCCCAACAACAGTGAATAGGTTCTACCCTCTGATATCATGTAACTTGCCATCAACACCTCGCACAACGGGTAGTATGCTTGAGCATCACAAACCTTCTTACACGCACACTAACAAAAACTATCAAAATACTGATCACTCCACTCACCCTCTAAAACCTAAAGCCATTAATAAGCATGGTAATTACAGGTTCCTCACCCCATACCCTAGGTACATTCCCCAGGATCACAATTGTAAATACTCTCACAATGGGAACTTTCCACACCCCTCAGTACCAACACATCACATGAAAACGGCCTCCATGTATAACAACAGTCGTAACCACTTCCAGCTACGTGAAGCAGACCCCCTTATGCTCACACAAGCGTAAATAGCCACAACAGAGGCTACGAGCCTAACTATCAAAACTATTCTGCAAATAACAGTACAGTCTACAGTCAACCTATACCAGATTTTTTTGGGATGAGGCCCCTTAGTGGCACCCCTGTTGAAGCATATAGCCCAAGTTATTTCGAACCACGTGTGGAACATAAACTCGCTTCCCCCGTACAGTTCGCATCAGAAAGTACTTCCACCCTTCCCTCCTAGATAAACTCTCCAAGCAACTTCACTAGCTCATTTGATACATCCCCCAGTAACTCTAGCTATCAAAATACAGAGCTATTGAAAAACATTCAATCCCTCATCGAAAAACCGCGACGGTCATGACATCTTTAATCGATATACTTTCACTCAGTATTTTCGATCTAAGTATATCTCTTGGTGACTATCTCCTATATAAAAGTAATAGATTGAATGGACGAGGCGGAGGATGCCGTATTTATGCTTACTCTAGCTTAAACTCAATATTATGTCATATGCCTGAACTAAACAGACTGAAGGACTCGGTGTGGATTGTTTTAAAGTCATCAAATTCCATTACCTTACTGTTCGGCTGTGTCTACCAGCAACCTAACGCGTCAATGGGTCAAATAGAAGTATTATCAGAGGTATTGACACTAGCATCATCCCTCCCATTCACAGGCAAGCTCGTTTGTGGTGACTTCAACATGCCTAAAATTCCCTTGTTTCCAGTCAGGGCTCCGAGATGTTACGAATCATTTATCGAGTGTCTAGAACTAGGACAGTGGATTCAATATGTTAGTAGCCCTACCGGACATCAAAATATCTTAGACTTAGTCTTTACCGTTGGCCTCACCCCCAATACTGTGTATGTTGGAAAAAGTTTCCAGATGGTGATCATAACATTGTCGTATGTGGCCCTAATATAAAAATCACCACCGGTAGACGTAAAAAGGTAACCCTTCGTCAAAACTATCGCAAGGTAGATTGGAATGATTTTCACAATTACCTAAGAAGCACTGACTGGGGAACTTTCTTTACTGCAAACAATACCGACACACTAACCAATATATTTTATCACAACATCGAAAGTATCATCAATAAAATCGCACCTTTAGAGTACTGGATACCTAAGTTCTCTAAAGACCTGTATATACCGGTCGGTACACGAAGATGTCTGCAGAGACATTGTACTCGCTTCCACAACTTTAATAACTTTTCCTCTTTAGTAACGATGACAGAAATACTTGTCCGGACAGAAGCAATAAGTACACAAAAAGCAGTCAAACAGGAAGAACGTGCTGTCGAACTTAGTAATAACTCCTCTGCACTCACCATACTCTTTCAAAATAAACTTAAACGTTCTAAGTCGAGAGGAAACATATTTATTAAAGACAAACAAGTATATGAAGATCCTAAACTTGTTATGAAACTATTTAATGAACACTTTTGTTCCTCATTAACTGATGAAAACCCACTAAATGATTGCGAACTTATCACAGCATCTGTGATATTGAGATTGTTCTCCTACACTCACTATTAAGACTCATGCTTCTAATTTTTGTGCTGGATTAACTATTCTACTAAGACAACCTTTAACATGCTTACTCGGACTTTTACATGAAAACTGTGTGGCAGGCATCGGATGATGAAAAAAACTGACTGTAAAGGATATGGTTGCTATTTTACTCAATACTCTACTCTCTATATGCACTCTCTGTTCTTCCTCATTCCAACCTTGACTTCTCTCCTTCATTGGAATCTACTCCACCTTGATAAATATCACAACTCATTGTTCTTTATTACTGCCTTCTCTTCTCTTGAGCCCCTAATCGCAGTTCACTCTTGCAACATGAGCTAGTATCAATTTAATCTAATAATTTATCATACCTCCATCTGTTCCACTAATAAATGTTAAGCATTGGTTATCGTTCATATCCAAATGCCTTGCTGCTCCTCGGTTTCTCTCTTTTATTTTTCTTCAAAATCTTGCTCTGGGGGTGTAGCTATGTAACTTCGGACATCTGGAACAAGCTCGACGAACGCGCTTTCCCAAGGTCATGGCTCCAACCAGGCGCTCCACAAGCCTACTTTATAACAACTATAAACTTAAAAAGCTGCATTACATAAATACTTAGAACTACCGAAACCCTATTACACTTTTTGTCGAGATTGGATCTGGTATGTAACGTGGACGCTACGCCCCTTTTGAAACTATTCTTATGAAAACACATTATATCTGAACGAATGAACTGCTATCAACTTTTATAGATTATAATTACTAAACAAGCTTGCTTGGGATGCATACTGTGAACCGGTATATGTTGTAAATTGTAGATCATGCCTGTAAAAATGGCGTGTACCTGCTATTGCAGAAATATATTATTATTATTATTATCTGCCTGTGAGATTACTAACGTGGACTTCAATGCACAGAATATCTCTAAGGCAATTAGTACATTGAAACACTCCCACACTGATAGACCAGCTGGTATTCCGGCTAGCATGCTAAAACGTGGAGGCGATGATATGTGTGTTTTATTACTCAAACTATTTGCGATATCACTCTCTACAGCGTGTTATCTTAACGCCTGGAAAACTACACACATCATTTCCGAAATTAAAACAGGACCTGAAGCAAATGTTGAAAAT